GCCTATGGTGGGGCGTGTTGATATCTGTCCACAGTAAATTACGTAGTACTACTAATAGTATGCATGTTTCGTGATTGTTTCGTAAATCACCATATATCTAAGATACAAGCAATCGGATACTACGTAGTACTACGTAGTACAAATTTCAAGATAGCAGGAATTAGATACAAGTGATTTACGAAACAAAAACGTTTCGTGATTGCTAGTAGTCTGGTGTATTTTGTTTCGTGTTTGTTTCGTAAATCGTGTATACTTCGAAGTACTTCGAAGTACTTCATATTACGTAGTACTACTAGTACGTAGTATTCATTACTCAAAATTTCAGCAAATTCGACAGATCTCAATGTGCTAAAGAAATTCTACGTCTCAGATTCAAATTTTCGTTCAGAAATAAACATTTAACCTAGCGGTATTTTACATGGGCGCTTGGATACAATCATAGTACACGACTCTCGACTACTAGTAAGCAGGATTGGAAAAACGAGGGGTTAGTTTTGTGCCAGGTCCAAGACAGTATACGGAGTACTACGTAGTAACATCCATTAATACTACTAACGTTACAGTAGTAAGATGTCCTATCTCACAGAGATTATTTAAATATTTTAAATAATATAAAAGAATTTTATAAAAATGAATTCTAAAACATTTTAGGCGTGGGGGCAACTTGTATCCTGCGGCGCCTCGTCGTTGTGTAAGATGGCTTTAAGAGATACTATCCGGTCGTCTAGTGCGCTGATTTGTCTTTGATAGAGATGCTGCTTCTCTGCCAGGTGCCGACGACGTTTCTGAATGGCGTGCTTGGTGGCGACATGCGCTTCTAATGCAAGTTGCAAGGACCTACACGTCGTCTCAAAAGGAACCACATCGCATATTCTCGTACGTGGCACGCTGAGACAGCTCGTTTCGGCAGTATTCTGCATATTGGCAGGCAAACTGGAGCAAGACGAGCGCAGACGTTAGGCTATTTCCATCTACATTCATGGTGGGGAGGTATAGTTTACAGTTCGAGCTTCAAATATCTCTGTCCTGTTACCATCGGTGTTGGCATCTCCAAATAACGTAAGGTCCATCACGTGCTCCAAAGCATCGAATTGTTTCTACAACGGCCGTGTTTAGGATTCAATCCGAACAAATAAGCTCAACCTTGTGAACAATGGCACCAATATTGATTTCATGCAGGGATCGCCAATTGATGCGGGCGCAAGGCACGTGGAAGGTAAAGTCGCTAGCAGGGGAGGGATCTACCGCTGACGATGCCAAGTCGTCTGTAGCCGACTCGATCGCGATGGAGATGAAAAGCGCTGGCTGCATGTGATGCCGCCGCGGCAGCTCCCACCACGTTGGCGGCAGGGCAGATTCACACGATCGCTGCGCCACGCACACAAACTCATCGTACGACTTGGAGCAGTCCCATAGCTCCACAGACAAGATTGGCGTGGACGTGTTTGTCCAAATAAACTGCCGACATGTTAGACGGCAGGGTGCACGAGATGATGTCTTACGTGAAATGTATGCTTCTTGTCAAAGTTAGATGGGGTCAACGTAACATTGATCTTGCAGTCTCCACCCTGTGCATTGGGGGGGTACGGTAGTGCTTGATGGCGAGCCATAGCTTCGTCAAGCAGAGCAACGCGCAAGGAGCATGGATCTGGAAGGTCTCTCCCATCATGGACCTCGATGGTGACGCGAGTTTCCACCATGTACACTGTGGCTTGTCGAAATCCAACTCAAACGTCGCCAAGGTCTACACGATTTCATACAATCAACCATTTTAATAAATTCTATTGATTATACCTTACTTTTTCCAAGTAAACATTTTTAAATACGAATAATCTTAACAAATAGATCATTTATAACCAATAAGAATTGACCTTGACGCACATTTGGATTTCGCTTCAACAACACGAAATCGCAATCTTAAGTTTGGTGTGGTGGGGCAGTAACTTATTGCACGAGCTCCAGCCAACTCTTATGAAGGTGAACGCAGATTTGTCGCTGCCTGCCATCGTACACTATGATGAGATCACGTTCGTCGCGTCGCCTTCTCACGGAGTGTTCCGTGGCATGCTCGATCGCGATGGCGACGAAGTGGCCCTGGCGACTACCCTCGTACGGTATGCACCGAACTCGACCTTTCCATCGCACAAGCACGACGCAGGCGAAGAGTTCCTTGTCCTCGAAGGTACATTCCACGATGACCACGGGGCGTATCCAACTGGAACGTACGTCCGCAACGAGGTAACGTTAGGCCACGTGACACATCACAACTGCATCCCAATGAATCACCATAGTCGCATGGAACTAATCGAACGCGCAGATCGGATCAGTACATGCCCCATCCATTGGCCACGACGGCTGTCTTATCTTGGTCAAGTTGAGGTGGATGACTCCCGAGGACACCCACGTAGTAGTCCCTGACACTGCCGTCCACACCGCAAAGGACTGGTCGTCCCTGTCCACCGGAAGCAACGTGCGCTTGTTGTATCAGAACGCCGCAACAGGGGAACATGCGTGGTTTCTCGTCCTTGGTCCTGGCGCACGCGTCGAGAGCCTGGACGGGTTTGACGGTGGCGAAGAAGTGTTTGTCGTTGCTGGCACTGTCACAGCTCTGTACGCGTCCACGTCGACGCAGATGCTCAAGTACTCATGGCTGCGCCTCCCGCCACAAGCCATCGCAAGCTGTGACCCTTCCAAGACTGTGTTCCGCAACACGAGCACAGAGGAAGCACACGTTTTCATCAAGACTGGACACCTCCGTCGCTTTGTCCACCAATGATTCGCCTCTTTCCAGGTCACCACGATGGATCACGATGGATGGCATAGGAAATTCCGTAACGATTGAAACAGTATCTGAAACGCTTGTAACTCCAAATATCGGGTAAATTCGGATATGTACCGGGTATTCGGCTACCCGTCGGTTCGAGAAATCCGGATATTGTATCCGGACACGAATAACAGCACGTATCTTGCAGCCAACAGTCACAAAAGTTAAACTGCAACCACCACCGCCGCACGACACTGCCAGCCACGAATATGCCGCGAGAAAGCTTTACACCGGACGATGTGTTGGAATTGGAAGCTCCGACAAAATGTACACTCGTCCATTCCGTTCGTCCATGTGCTGACCCCCTGCATGTGTGTGTGTGCTCGTAGCGTTCCTTTGCCCGTTGAGCGCGAACGTGTACAGCATCGACTTTCTCAAGTTTCAGATCATCGATTACGAAAGCAAGCGGAAAATCTTTCAAGTGCGATCGATCTTGACAATGGTAGAGGAGTCCTGACCTGTGCGTGAATTCATTGTAGGTCGGCCGCGACTGCCCACCTCGCGCCGCGGCCAAAGTCGACTACTCGCAACCCCTTGACGAAGAGTCGTACCGAAAGATCCGCTACGAATTCTCCGAGGACGTGTTGCGCCTCCCGACGATCATGACGTCGCTCGAGTTTAGCGTGGGCGGGAAGGAAGTGCACGGGTTTCGCATGATCGAACGGCACTACTTTCGAGAGGAACTGGTCAAGTCGTATGACTTTGCGTTTGGGTTTTGCATCCCCAGGAGCACCAACACGTGGGACGCCGTGTACTCGGTGCCAGCCCTGGACGAAGACCTGATCCAGGACATGGTGGCTAACCCGTACGCGACCGTGTCGGATAGCTTTTACTTCGTCGGGGACGAGCTGATCATGCACAACAAGGCAGAATACAAGTACATTGTCGAGGACCGCGCGCAGTCGAAACGTTCGTACTATGACAGCGACGACGAAGGCGATGCAAAGGAGCGGAAGGGGGCGGCGGGCAGTGCCGGGGCGAAAGAGGCCAAGGAAGCCAAGGACGCCAAGTGGTCCAAGGAGGACGAGTATGACGACTAGAGGCTTCATCTGTCTTGCGCTGTAGCTTGGCTACGGCTAAAGTTACAGCTATTGATAGCATGCGCCAACACAAGTTGCGTTAATATGTTGAACGAAACAAATGATGGGAAAACAGGACGCCAACGTGTAAGAGGTTATTTCCACAAACAACAAGGCGGCGCGTTGGCCTACATTCATTATTCCTTCCATGATGCATGGTACTAAGTGGTATATTGTACACTGGATATATGGAATTGTCAATCCATGTCCATGGCGCCATCTTCCCCGAGAACGACGTCCATTTCACAATGCGAACACAAACAATCGAGACCGAAGCGGTCCTTCAACGACGCGCGCTTGGCCGCGCGACTTTCCGTGCTCCCGCATTCTTCGTCGGCACTGTCGGCGCCGTCGTAGAATGTACAGATCTCTTCGCCGCTCTGAATGTCCCGCCTCGCGTACAGCTTGCGGTACGGCCCAGCTTCGCGTTTGACCCAGGCATTGGGAATGCACGCGTGGTTGAGGATCGACAGGATCGGACCGTGCGATGCCAACCCCTCCGAGCCGTTCTCCTCTGTGAGTGTGTACCCGAATTGAGTCAGCCGGCCTCGACCTGCGAGGTCCTTCATCGTGAGGTATTGCACTTTTTCCATGATGATGAGGTCCCCACGGCGGAAAGCTTTGGTCGCGAACAGACCATTGCCACATCGCTGGGTCTTGCGCATCTCCACGGCAGGGTTAGCTATCGCGACACACACGGGTTTGTGGGCTTTCCAGATCTGGCGCTGGCAGGCTGCATTGCAGAAGTACGCCAAGTTGCATTGTCCGCACAGGAGCAGCTTGGAGCTCTGTCGATGGCATGCCGAGCATATCTGCACTGATTTGGTGGAATTATCGGCCATCAAGGCGATTATCTGTCCAACCACGCACGCAGACACGTAAGGGTCCGGTAAAAAAAAGGATTATCCGGATAAGATATCCTACCATCTATGCAATCTCCAGGATTTGCCAATTCAAGCTGCGATTTAAAATAACCTCGCGTTTGTATGGTCGTTGCCGAAAGAGAACGAGAATCTATTTTTACGCAATCTTCAAGAGCCGCCGCGCAAGGACCTGGCTCACGAGTCGCCACCCCGCATCCCCGCCGTTCTTCTTCTTCGGTACAAGCGTACAGCTGTGTAGTACAATCTTCGCTGCCTTATATTACGATGAAAGACCACCCCCAAAGCCAAGAAAGGTCTGCGTTTGTTCAGTGCAGGGAGGACGGCGACGCCAACCAAACAACTGATGCTGTCGTCGAGAAGGTTGACGCAGTCGTTCGCCCTGACAGCGGCGGTGACAGCTACGATTCGGAAGAAGGCAAAGTAGGGGCCATTCATCCATGGAGACAGCTCATGGACGACCGAAAGAGCAGCAGCGGGGACGACGCAACACCTTTTTTTCACAGTGGTCGAATCAAGCGCCTCCGTCCTGCGTCCCAAGAAACGCTGTCTCCGCTCACATTAACCCCCCGAGCGCCGTCTCGCCGAGACAGCCGGTCCCGCGTGAATTCCATGGACGACCCCGCCTCGTTTGAAGACAAGCTAACATATCAACCCGTGCAAGCAAGCCGACGAAATAGCGAGCTGCCCCACGCACTCTCCATCCCAGCACCATCCGACTTGATTCCTCTGTACGCGTCCTCGTCCGTGCCGCCGTCAATCTCGACGCCAAAGCCCTCGACTCCTGGGTCCAGCCCATTCTTTTACGAGTTCAATCTGTGGAAAAAAGCTCCCCACCGTCGCCCTGACGTCCGTACGTAGCTCAAGCATCTGATTCCTATCGTTCGTTTCTGATTCGATCACGGATCCAATCTGATTCTACGGGTCGCGGTCTCATCGTGTAGAGCCAGTCCAAACGAGTACTAGTACTCCGACAGTGTCACAGGCCGCCGATCCCGGGGAAACGAAGACGGGACCGGGCAAGGTAGGGTTGGCGGTGCTCCATCCTCCCAACAATCAGGTCGACGACAGCACCTCGGCCATGCTTCACGAGCATGTTGACGTGGGCGCCGTCGTTCGAAAGCCGCGGTCGGCGTCGATGCAAGACGACATGCGCGACTGCGAGCTCACGCGGTCTAACTCGCCCGATTTCAAGTACCTCCACCGGTTCTTCGGCGACAGGTGACCACCCGATTCCGTGACGTACATTCTCCAAGACATGTGATATAGTGAGCGGCCGGCGACGCGCATCAAGTGGAAGCGCGGCGAACTGATCGGCGAAGGCACGTTTGGCAAAGTGTTCAAGGCACTTAACTCGTGCACGGGCGAGTTGTTTGCTGTCAAGCAGATCCAAGTGCCGCGCGATAAGAAGCATGAACACGAGTCCAAGATGCTGGCCAAGCTGGGCGAGGAGATCACGCTGATGAAGGAACTTCGTCATGAGCATATTGTGCGATACAAAGGGACCGATCGGGATGCGCATTTCTTTTACATCTTCATGGAGTACGTGCCGGGGGGGTCCATTGCCAGGTACGTACGTAGGTAGAGCATGGGAGATGCATGAAGCAACATGTCGTCGGGTAGCATGCTTACCCATTACGACGTGTTCAACTTGGACTTGATCCGCAAGTTCACGCGGCAAATTCTGCTCGGGGTCGAGTACCTCCACAGCAAAAACATCATCCACCGAGACGTCAAAGGTACGATAACAACAACGTGGACATGCAAGCAGCTAGCGTAGATATGCTCATGGGATGTGTGGCGGTAGGCGCGAACGTGTTGGTGAATGAACAAGGCGTGGCCAAACTGGCCGACTTTGGATGCTCCAAGCAATTGTCGTCGGTGAAAACTACGAGCATGGAGGAGAGTTTGCGGTCGATCCGTGGATCTGTGCCGTGGATGGCCCCGGAAAGTACGCCCTCCTACTCAAATACTCGATCGAAAGTGTAGCGTGTGTGATGACGATATGGCATGGTGTAGTGGCCAAGCAATCCGGACACGACTTCAAAGCCGACATCTGGAGCGTCGGAGCGACGGTGATCGAGATGGCCACCGCCAAGCATCCGTGGCCGGCGAACACGAACCACCTCTCCGTCATGTATCACCTGGCGATCAACCCCACGGGGCCGCCGATCCCAGACTGGTTGCCAGACGTCGTCAAGTCGTTTCTTCAGCGGTGCTTCTGTATCGACCCGAGAGGTACATATCCTACTGCATCAACGTCCCGGTTACCGTCATCATGTTGTACTCTTCAGAGCGAGCGACGGCGACGGAACTGCTGCAGCATTCGTTCCTCCAGTTCGCCTAAGAATATTCGCATTCTGGAAATTCGAGAACGAGGCGCGCGCCCCGTTGTAGTGATGTAGGAAGGTGTATTTTTTTCATAATTATTTAACGCGCAAAGTTTATTTCGTCCAAAAAGGTCAACATATTTCGATATTTCCTCAAAAAGTATCCCCGCGCCCCGGGGCATGCTCCTTCGGCCTCAACTTCAAATTCGCATTTGCGTGCAAGCTGGCACTGAGATGATGCTTTCGCGGCAGTTGGGACGGCGGCTCGTGCCGCGACATATGATGCTGTGGCGCGGCCTTGCTACGCCCAGCAACAATGCATGGGTGAACCCTGAGAACGTCCCGAAGGGGGAACACTTGAAGAAATACGGACGCGACTTGACCCAGGCCGCGCAAGACGGCAAGTTGGATCCGGTGATTGGGCGCGAAGACGAGATTCGTCGCGCGGTGCAAGTGTTGTCGCGGCGAACGAAGAACAACCCGGTGCTCATTGGAGACCCTGGCGTCGGCAAGACGGCGATCGCGGAGGGTCTAGCTCAGCGCATCGCATCCGGCGAAGTACCCGAGAGCATGAAGAAGAAGCATGTGGTAGCGCTTGACTTGGCGGCGTTGGTCGCGGGGGCGAAATTTCGAGGCGAATTCGAAGAGCGTCTGAAGGGAGTGTTAAAAGACGTTGAGGGGAGCGACGGCGAGGTGATTTTGTTCATCGACGAGTTGCACATGCTTATGGGAGCGGGCGGCGGCGACGGCAGCATGGACGCGGCCAACATGCTCAAGCCGGCATTGGCGCGAGGGTCATTGCATTGCATGGGCGCCACGACGCTGGACGAATACCGTGCGTTCTAATCGTCGTTCGACCCATAAAATCTCATCACGAGTGAATAGGCAAGTACATCGAGAAGGACGCGGCACTGGCGCGGCGATTTCAGTCGGTGCTCGTGACGGAGCCCTCTGTGGAAGCAACGATCACGATCCTGCGCGGATTGAAGGAAAAGTACGAGGTGCATCATGGCGTGCGCATTGCCGACAGCGCACTCGTGCAGGCCGCGACCCTTGCCCATCGGTCCTCCTCCCCAACGAACCTCCCCCCAATATCATCTCATCACGACCATGTATGTACAGGTACATTTCGGACCGCAAGATGCCCGACAAAGCGATCGACCTCGTGGACGAGGCGGCGTCGCGACTGCGGCTGGAGCAAGAGAGCAAACCGGAGCCCATCGAAGCGCTGGAGCGCAAGATCATCATGCGCAAGATCGAGATGGAAGCGCTTCGCAAAGAAACCGACGCCGCGTCCGTCAAGCAGCGGCAGATCGTGCAGCAGGACCTGGCGGCGATGGAGGCCGAGCTGAAGGCTCTGATGACCGAATGGAATCAAGAGAAGGCGCGCCTCGAGGGCCTCAAAACCGCAAAAAAACGACTGGAAGAGGCGCGCCGCGAGTTGGAAGCCGCGCAGCGCCATGGGTACAGTGCATATATATATATATATATACTAGTGATTTGCACTACGTTTTGTACCTCGGTGCGCTTTTGATACTTTGAAAGTGATGATTTCCTTTGTATTGTATATATATATATATATATTATGACGGGGATATCTTATTTCTCCATTTCGTATGTATGCGTTTTCAAGAGTTTGAAAACGACGAGTTCCTTGATGTTGCATATATATATATATATATATATATATATATATATATATATTATGACGGGTATATAAGATGTCGCAATAGACTACGTTTTGTAAGACCTTTGCACATTCGATATTTTGTAAACGACGATTTCGTTCGTATTGCATATATATATATATGGCTGTGATATATTGGACTATATCTTGTACCTTCGATATGTTGAACATGTTTTCTATTTCCTTTGTCTGGAATATATATATATAATGTTGGTGTGTGGTAGCAATTATGCCCGCGCAGGCGAATTGTTGCACAGTGTGATTCCGCAACTGGAGCGAGAAGTGGAGCACGACGACAGTGTCGCAGACGAAGAGCCCAAGCATTCGAAGCTCTTGCTGGGGGATGCTGTGACGTCGGACCACATTGCGATGGTGGTGGCGCGGGCGACGGGCATCCCCGTGTCGAATCTTCTGTCTGGTAAGCCTAACGCAAAGTAGTGGTGGTGAGATGTCAAAATGGGGATGTTGTAGGCGAGAAGAAGCGGCTGCTCAATATGGAAAATCTGCTCGAGACGCGCGTGGTGGGCCAGTTGCCCGCCGTGAAGGCCGTCAGCGACTGCATTCGACTGGCGCGTGCTGGTTTGCATGCGCACAACCGCCCCCTCGGAGTATTTTTGTTCTTGGGACCCACAGGTACTTACTACTATATGTACTTTATATGTGACAAGGTGCTGTTATGTATGCAGGCGTGGGCAAGACCGAACTGACCAAGGCGTTGGGTGAGTTTTTATTTCAAGATCCATCGGCTATGACGCGCATCGACATGTCTGAGTACATGGAGAAGCACACGGTGTCGAGGTTGATTGGCGCGCCGCCGGGGTACATTGGGTACGAAGAAGGTACCCCCCAATCTCTCGAACATACCAAGCGTTGCCCTAACTAAATAAATCCCCATTGGTTATATATATATATAAAACCAACATGTATAAATATATATATATATATATACAAAACCAACATGTATATATATATACTGTATATACATGTATATACATGTAGAAAAAACGTATACGAATGATGATTGTCTATATTTTGATAAAACATATTAACTGGAATGGTTCGTACTAGGCGGGACACTGACGGAAGCAATCCGGCGGCGGCCGTACCAAGTGGTGCTGTTTGACGAGTTTGAAAAGGCGCACCGAGATGTGTCCAACTTGCTGCTCCAAGTGTTTGACGAAGGGCGGCTGACGGACTCCCAGGGCCGCCTCATCGATTTTCGGAATACAGTCATCATCTGCACGAGCAACCTCGGGTCGGACGTGCTCGCGACGTTGCCCGAGGTAAATATATATTGTATATTATATCTTGTGGATATTCGGTACAAATTTTCAGACCCCGTCGAATATCTCGCCGCTGAATCGAATCATATGAATCGACGCTATTGGCTAATTGAATTTTGAGTGCATTTGATGTTTGGCAGAAAGGACAAGGATATTCAACCAATCCAAACTCCAGCTTGATTCAATATTGATTCGACAAACCACGCGAGTTTTGGAGGTTTATAGCAAATTCACAATATTGTCGTTTTATTTCCCAAAATATAGATACTAGTGTGCCGACTCTGCAAATGTACCGACGGTTGATGCTCTTTTTTTGTATTGACTTTTGTATGTAATAAGTGGATGATTGTATTCACATGAATTGAGAGGTCATATACATTGATGAGATAGAGATGGTCATGATGGCTTCCTTCAAAATCTGATTGGCTAATTATACTTGTGCCGAGTCTTGTACTTTATTGTGTTTACAATATCGATTGGTTGAATCAACCGCCGAACAATCGCCGGACCTTCGAAATTTCATATAAAACAAAGTTGAAGAGGTATCGTAGTGTGAGTGCAATGCATCAATCAATCTTTTTAGCCAATCATATTGCAACCTTCATTCTTTGTAGCCAATCATACTCGTTTTCTCGATTAGTAGGCGATTTCATCAATTATCCCCCAAAAGAGGCAAATTTGACTGTGAATAGCACAATACATGATTGTATATATAAACACTCTGTACTAGTATTATTATTTGAAAAGTAGATAACTATTTTGCCGTAGGGTGTGCCGAGTGTGGACGCTGAAGACGACGTGATGGAGATTGTGCGACACCATTACCCCCCCGAGTTTCTGAATCGCATCGACGAGATGGTGCTATTTAACCGGCTCGGGCGCGACCAGATTCAAGCCATTGTGGACCTCCAACTGCATGATATTCAAGCGCTTTTGGACGAGAAGGAACTTGGTAAGTGAAAGATATATATATATATATGTATTAACGCGATTGATGGGATGTATATATATAGCGCTGGATGTGACCGACGCCGCCAAGTCGTGGCTCGCGGAGGTCGGATATAGCCCCATGTATGGCGCCCGCCCGCTCAAGCGACTGATTCACAAGCAGCTGCTCACGCCTCTATCTCGACAGATCCTCGTGGGCTCGTTCAAGGCGGGAGATACGATCCACGTCGACCAGCCAAATCCTGCCGCCGACTCGCTCGTGTTTACCAATGCATGATCAACCTTTCCTCCTTTTTTAACGTTAATGCAATAGTATTGCGTGCTTTTCACCAAATTGGCTAATCTTGGGTGATTGTTGAAATCGCCAAAAACAAATCGACCAAAGCTGTAGGATTGGCTATAAAATCATGAAGGTTGCATTATGATTGGCTAAAAGAATGAATTCTGAAATAGTAAAACTTCGAAATCTTACATATATATGAGGTTCATTCAACCAACCGCGAAAGGAATTTTGAGTAGAACACACAATTTTACTTGCTGTAACAAGTAACAGTGTCACAGATATCACTTGCTGCATGAAGTACTGTATAAGGTGCTTCATGGAATTCCCTCCCTGCCAGCTTAAAAGTCATGGAAGACGAGATTCGTAGTGTAGACGCGGAATTGCGGTATTGATTGGCTGATATAATACATAATGTGGCCAATTAAACTATCGTATTTCAAAAGCGTGATGCTTCATTGGTCCAAAAATGGCAGTATAATTCATATGCGATTCGTTTAATTCCGAGCGGAATACTATAAGTGTTGGACATTCAATAATATTGATAGTTAGAGTATACGCGTTCGAAGGTACGTACGTTCATCTTTAGCAGCGCAACCGCCTTCCGCGACTCGTTTGCTTCGATCCAAGGCGGTACTGTATCACTATATTTGTATATGCTTCGTACTATGTACGTAGTTAGTACTACTATTAATAGTAAATGGATTTCAATTTCATTTAGTATCTATTCTATCTCGTGATATGCATTGAAATGTATCATTCTATAAAACACACCAGACAGCCATGCACTTTGCAAATTGTGTATCTTATACTCGTACAAGTATATATTAATAGTTTATATAACATCATACTTCGTAATTCTAGTTTAATACTAGTAGTATATGTACTATACGCGTATTACTGTGGTCGTGGTAGTTGGTATGTTAAAAACTATTTGATTTTTATTGCATTCATGTTAATATTTTCAATTTTATGTATTACTGGTATTATCTGATGCGTCATGTATATATATTTGAACCCAACCCACGAACGGTGGTCGTTACCATTCACACCACGATATCTAATGTACAATGTGGTTTCCGAGTGTGGGTGATGGTGGGCTTTGCATCAATCGTCGACTTGTCCGCTGTAGCCGCGGTGCGTTTCGATCCCTCCAGATGAACAAGTCGTGAATTGTGCGCCGCCATCTAAACAGTCTAAGCGAGCATTTACGAGCGACCTGCCGTGAACTCCGTGGGTTCCCCTGCCTTGGACTCCAACATGGACGACAGAAAAAGTAGATGTTTGTGCTTATTGTATGTTTGAATTACGACCGGCGTACTGGTTGGTCGTGTTCCAGCCCTTGCGCTGCAGCTCAAACAGTTGCTCTTCGAGGATCGCCGTGAGTTCAATCGTGCCTTTGAGCACGAGGCGCAGTCCGTCCTGGATATCTTTCTTGGAGTGCATGCGCGCCTTGGCTGGTTTTGCGCTGGCTGTCGATGGGTAGTTGTTGTTGTCCGAGATGTGCGTGTCACCGCCAGTTTCTCGCTGACTGACCAACTCGGTGGCAACTTTGTCGAATTCGCGCAGTGCACATTCAAGAGATTGCAGTTAAAGAAACGGAAGACACATGAATGGGTCGACTACAGGAGTAGTCGCGGACAAAAAGGATATAAAACACGTCGGCGCTCATGACGCGCTCGTGGTGGCCTTCGACGACTTTGACTAGAATGAAGTTGTCTCGGTTCTACAAGGTTGAATTATAGTTCGAAGGACATATAAAGACCACACAACCGACAGTCGATGACAGGCAGGGGGTACCCAGGCACGACATACTACTGTAGTACTAGCTAGTATTGTCAAGTCGATTCGATAGTATGCGCAGATTGACCAAATCGACAGGCGACCAATCAAAACACAGATCAAGAATCAAGGATCAAGTAGCCAATCAAATCCAATCTTTGACCAATTCAACATCGAATAATAGTGAGTGACTAACTGTAAAATTAATTACTCGAGTATTAATACGACCTTCACATACAAAAGTCAGTAACACGTTACAAAGGAATCGATCGATAAAGTTGGCGAATCAGCACAAAAGTCCAAACTTGAGGTAAAAGGAGGACAATACTAGATGTACACAGTATGGTGCACTTCATCTAAAAACTTCCAACTGGCCAAATTGAAGAGTGGAGGTTTTATTATTTAACGTGCAATTAATGTAGTTAAACCCAAAATCCAGATACGTTAAATACCGATTTCATGCGTTTTATCACTGGAGTGGGAGGTAAAAGGTCCCAACTGCCTCCGGATATTAAATACGGATAAGAGTCACATACAAAAATCAAGATACATTTGAGGGCCACCCCTATGGCCAAATATCCAAGCGCCCATGTAAAATACCGCTAGGTTAAATATCTATTTCTGGACCAATTCATCACAAAATTTGAATCTGAGACGTAGAATTTCTTCACCACATTAAGATCTGTCGATTCTACGTCTCAATTTGCTGAAATTTTGAGTAATGAATATGAAATAGAAGTCAGAAAATTTTGTGAAAAGTTGGTAGTTTATAGATGACGTGCACCATACATGCAACGAGGATCATCAATACTGTAATACTGACATAGGAGAACGTTTTCAGAACTGTACGAACCTTGGTTTGTGAATACACCTTTGGAATGTTGTGGCGTCGCATGAGTTTGTTGGCTTGGCCCTGTCCACCAAAACCAATGGCCGTGAACGGCCGCCTACAGTATACTCAACACGTACGATTTTCAGGGCGATTTTCCGCTCATAGTCTGCTTTTTCTTGAAACAATTCCGTCTACCCAACCACGTTAATACACATTGCCGTAGAATTCATTGTCACATAGGTACAGCAAAGTCGCGTTCGCGAGCGCGCTTGTCGTTGGCCGCTTTCTTCAAGTACACTTTGGACACGGACAGCTATGTACCACCACCAACCACCACACCCCCTCGTTTAATCATCCCTTTTGATCAAGGTATACATACATATGCACGAACGTACGTTGCGATTGGATGGCGCAGATATCGGCCGAAACGTGTCTAGTTGGATGCATCCATTGACATCCAACGACGGACAATTTTCAAGCTTTCTGAGGCCAACATACCTTGACCTTGTTTGGAGGTCGTTGTGACTGCATGAGTGCCGTGAATCACACCTCCTGGTGTTGCTGCGAATTTGTCAGTAAAACGGGGGACACAGGGTGACAACCTGTAGGACGAGGCTTGGCGCTGGCGGGTCGCGAGTGTGACGTGTTGAGGTGGAGTCTTGTTGAAGGATTCTGAAGTTGACCGTCAAGGCAATGCGTACCCACAGCACTAGGCGGTTGAAATCGCTTGGGGGGGGCGGTGCTCGGGCGGTTAAGCCCGCTGCTACTCCACCTGCCAACGACGTCGGCGGAGGGGGATGCCTTGGTCTTGCTACCACCCGTCAAAGTGCCTGCCATACAGTACATATTGAAGTGATCCATAACTGTGGGGGGATGAGGGGCTACTGTACGGATGGCGCCGTCTGCTTCGGCTGCGATGGAGACGTCCTAATCGATAGCCAGGATACGGTTTACGTGAGAGGAAGCCGCAGAGATGGAGGTACAACATACGTCCAATATATCGTCGCCGTGCATGATAGAGTTATAATCTGGCGGGTTAGCTAGAACGAGAGTGCCGTGGGATGAGGCTGGTCAAGGATAGCAACGATAAAGCGAAAGGTCGCGAAGGTTTCACCGTAACGTTTAACATCATCATTCGAGCCTGAACTCGAATGGCAATATTAATATCGGGGAGGGACAATGAATTTACAACACCATTTCAAGAGTCCACAACTCGGGAATCCACAACGTCAACGTATCCACATGTCACATACTCTGGAGTACAAGTACGTTAGAATACTCCTTACCATTCCAGCTTCGGCGCATTTACCGTACCCTTGCAACCTCGGAACCCTGAAACCTCTTGTGTTTACATATAATGCGTGCCCCTAACCCACTTGTGTTCACATATAATGCCTGTTCCTGGGGTATGTTGCATCGCCAGTGCTTAGTGTACTGTAATCACTGCCAATGCACATTGCACATTACGCCTTAGCTCGAGTACGTATGTGTGTGTAGCAGGTTGACATACCCAATCAAACTGATCCTGATACGTGTAGTATACCAAATCATACAAATTTGAAGTATGCATGGTTGCTGTTGTATATTCTTGCCAGAAGTTTAGATTCTTGAAAGAAGTTGTACGCTCTAAAAAGGCGCTTGTATTTTCTAATTATCTCACCACGGATTAGACCACTCACTTCCATGTTCGCATTCAACATTTAAGGATGTACGAAGCTTACAGTTAACGTTAGTACAATTGACTCCGCAGTGCTGAATCGCGACCCTACGGTTGACGAGTCAACGTTTCGTACACCTGTCAGTTCAAATTTCAAATGTACAAAATTCTGACAATTTCTAGGTATCAAAAAGACCTAATATGATCGGTAAGTATTGGTGAGTTGTTTATGCTATAGATTGCTCCAGGCTCATCTGTCCATTTCAAATACTTCTAGTTTGTATAACACTGAATGCTGTGGAGATGCTCTAAGCAAGCTCTTACTTCGAAGCCGTTCATAACGTTATTTCAGATGTAAAAAGGTTTGTTGGCTATCATGATTCGCACATTTGTACAGATACAATATCCGCGGCAGGGTCTCGTCCTCAGCGAAAGTCACCACTTTTCTGGCGGCCAAGCACTTGGCTATTTTGACCAACTACCCACGGATCAGATATCAGTGAAGTCAGCGCAGTTCATCAGTGTTGATTTGCATCCGACTTGCGATGGCCACAGCTGTCGCTCCTGCTGCTTTTGCAGCCATCGCCGTTGTCGAAGCCACCGCCGTCCGTCCGAGCATGGACCACCGAGAGATTCCCATCGCTGCGCTCGTGGATGATCGGCCGTCGTACCGCGTGGACTGGTGGGTGCGACCCTCAACCAACGCGATGGGCAAGTTGTTCTCCAAGAAATCGTCGTGGCAGTGGTGCCAGGTGGCGCTGGTGGGGCAGACGCTGACCGTGTTCCACCACGACAAGTCGCTTCTATCGCTCGCCACGCCATCTAGCACCTTGGCTCGTTCGTCGGGGGGTCAATCTACCTACGTGTTGAGTGGCAACGGCGGCGTGGAGCTGCTGGAACTTCATTGTCCCAGCGCCACGGCCATCCAGAAGCTCGTGGCCGCGTTCGGCGCGTCCCAAACATCCGAACACTGGACGTTTCCTACCTCGTCTTCTGTCTTGGACGAGTTGGTAGACGTGGCCAAAACCATCGTCGAAGGCGCGAACGTATCGCCCAAGAAGCGACCGGTGGTGCCGACGCCGTCGACGGCCACCGTGGCCCAGGTCCAAGCGCACATCCGACGCCTCGTCGCGATCTACAATGACATGAGCGCGGTGGCCACGTCCAAGGAAGCGCTGTACAAGGCCGTGCTCCAGCTCGAAGCCGACTACATGGCTGACCAATCCACTTTGTCCCCGCTCGTGGCCTTGGTGCTCGAGGCGTACCCTGACTTGGAGTACGCGACCACGGCGTTTCAAGTGTCCATCACAGAATGCCCCGTGTGCGAGACCAGTTTGCACTTAAAGCAAACAATTGACATACACGTAGGGGGCAAGATGCTGCACTGTCGGTACTGCCACACAGTGCTCTCGTACGAGACGTTTCTACTGGCGGACTTGGTCAAGAACCACCTCCCCACGACCGTCGAGTTCCAAGTCGGATTGTTTAGCAAGTCGACGCACGTGCTGCCCATGCCGGGGGTACCCGCGGACGGCAAAGTCAAGACATTCGTGGACACATTGTGGGGCGTCCTGAGTGATTTTTCCACTAAGGGCGGGGATAAGTGCCCCCGACATGTGTACGCTGACGTGATGGGACCCGTCGCCAAGGTACTGTATCGCACAGACTTGGTGCAGCACATGTATCGCGTGCTGCTGTTGACGTCGCACGTGGCCAGCCACGCCGAGTACTGGGCCCTTCCCGTCGTGATCCAAGCCAGCATTCATCGCTTCGACCAGTTCCGCCACATTGCGCAAAACGTCGTGGCGGTGGGGTCGCCGGTCGCGTCAATTGACATTGCCCTTGTCGCACAATCCGTCCAAGTGTTTGAAACGAGTTTGATCTTGCCGCGGGACCACGGCAGCCGCTCGCTCAACGTGCGGCTGGCAGAGACCGCCGTGTTGTTCCACGAAGCGTTCTTCGAGCCGTACGCGCCGTCCATCGGGCTCAACCAGGCGCTGTGGCTGTCCACTAAAGTGTTTGTCCAGAGCCAAAAGAAGCGGTGGGACCAGGCACATGTGCAAGTGGCATCCCGTGACAGCCAGTTTCGAGGTGTCCAAGAGGTGTTTCCTGCGCGGAGGTTGCGCCACGTCACGGCGCTGGCCCACCGGCCCGACGAGGATGACGTGGCTGTGGCCGTCCTCGGGGCCTTTGAGTACGACGTGCGCGTGGGAAATGCGACCAAGTTGCGCAGGGCGTTGGTCGCAGACCCGTCCTTGCTGTACGACATTCCAAGCATTCAAAAGCACACGACCAAGTTTTCCATTTTTCTCAAAAAAAAGTAGAAAAATCTGCCAACACATGTGATGTAACTAGTTGTAGTACAATATATATTATTGAGCGTGTAATAAGTCGTTATTCGGGGGAATAGGATCACAACATACATATAGGTGGAGTGAGTTCGTTGAGTCTTTCAAATCATGCCACCAAAATCGACAAGCGAATATATATATATATATACATACTGTGAGCGTGATTTGGACTTACTAGTAAAACGTAGCTTTGAACCTAACGTTAATCGTTAATCGGTGGGGATGCTCTAACGTTTACCTTATTACATGCCCCGAATGCCAAGAATCTCCTCTAGTACAGAGTGTCGTGTATATGAACTACGTACTCGTACATCGTTAGTACTTGAGTGTGGGGTATATGAACTACGTACTCGTACATCGTTAGTACTTGAGTGTGAGGTTTTTGTATTGCGTTGGCACGTCCTGAACTTACTTCAGAGCTGCACACTTTACTTTTCTTCTATTGAATTTGTCGAGCGCCATGAGCTTCAAAATCGCGTCTCGAAACAAATCAAACACGGCCGAGTCATGGTCAATCGCCGACGCGAGGCCGAGCACGACTTTGCCCTTGCGGTCTTTGGCGAAAATCCGGTGGTAGTGCTGGCGCAGGGCGTCGGGGATGTTGGTTTCCATGGGGGCCCCTACCGCCATGTACGCCTTGTAGATCGCATATGCGTCCCCCCCTCCGTGCAGTCGAAACTCAAACGCAGCTTTCCACGCCACAACATTTTCAAAGCTGAACTCGATGCGCGCAAATGCCGAAAACATCAAGTACCCGTCCGGCGTGGCCAAGTAGTCTTCGAGCACGGCCAGCTTGCTGCCATGGCCTTCGGCTACTGTAAAGTGCACTGGCAGCTCGTGGCGCGAGTGCACCAGCGGCCACACGACTTGGCACCCCACGACCACAAACCCTGCGATGGGGAAAATCACGTACCGGAGCTTGTATGTAGCTACCCAATACGTTTCCCTGTACTCGATCGCGATGGCTTCAAGCACAAACAGCACGGCAAGCAGCCGTCCCATCGTTTGATACCGCCGGCGTAAACCAAAGTTGTCGATCACTTTCGACAGGTAGTGGGCGAGGATGCCGAAGGACGCGATGAAGACTCCGACAAGCGCTAGGAGTACAAAGTTCATGGCAACGTTCAGGGGTATCTCGATGCAATCAGCGACGCTGAGCGACTGCATGTGTGCGACACTGGCGTGGTCCAAGATGGCGACGGGCGGGAGGAGCCACAGCAACGTCCCGACCATCCATTTGACCACGATCGCCCTTGGCTGCAGCAGCCGCCGCAGCCGCATGATGCGGACCACCGACTTGGCTTTGTTCTGATCTGACGTGTCGGCGTGGTGGTTCACGAGGTGCTGCGTCAGGTTGAACGTGAGCACGAGCGTGAGCTGGTTGAGCGCGAGACCAAACAGTGTCACAACCACAAACACAAATAGGAACGCGTTGAACGTGCCGCATGCGACAGCGTGTTGGTTCAGCAGCATGCACGATCCCCCGAGCGACAGCACCGCCGCCATGGAGCTGCAAAACGCCGTCTGGCGGGGGTTAGCGTACCGGATAGTCGGGAACTGACGGCGCCTGACGAACACCCCAATGGCCACGGGCAAGCAACACGACACGAACATGAGCACAACGTACACCCCCAGCGGACCTGGTTCAATCTCGTACAGGTTTGTTTCCATGTACTTTTGTGTCGTAGCCGAGGTGTGAATGAATGAAGACGAGCACAGTGACGGGGGGGTGGGCGGGCTTTGATGGAGACGCAGATACCGACGAGATTTGATGACCAGCTTTGCATGCACTTCGGGTATAAAAATAGCCCGCCAATCAACAAGGGCTAAGAGTTGAACGTGTTGCTTTGCGTTGAAACAAGACTGTTCTTGTTATGAATAGATTATAACTACTGTATACATACACTAACTTCACGTTTCCTACTACTAGTATATATATTACTACTCATAGTATACTACATTAATTAAGGCAAGAGATGGGGATAAAATATTAAAATTAAGTCGACTGGTCGTTTGTATCAGAGGGGCACACTGCCACGTCGTCGTCGCGGCACTGCCCCAGCCGTTGGCGAAACGCATGCCAGAACTGCACGAGGCGGAGTCGGTCGTCGGGATGGAGCGTCGAGGCAGATGCAATCAAAACGCTCTCGAGGAGCAACAGCGCGCGACCGTAGAGGTCCCCAGCTAGCCCTACACGACGACCCAAAAATATATTGTCCATCACTCTGCCCCAACATCAATCACTCTTCATCATACCTTTTTGGCCCAGAACTTCGTGGACGGCGGCTTCTCGACCGAGGCGCACCACTTGGGCGTATAAAATCTCGTCAAACGACAAACTAGTAGTACTAGTAGTAGTACTAGCCTTCCCGCCGCCGCCCTCGACGCCCGACCGTTCATCGGATGTGCATTGTTCCGCCTTGTCAATGCACTGAATGAGCACCGCCTTGATCCGGCCTTGGTTGTTGGCGGATATTTGCCCATCTGCGACCATGTGCAGCATACGCAGTGCCTTCATCACCAGCATGAGCGCATGCTCAGGGCACGACGGAACGAGATGATGGCGAGTGGCCACTCGGCCGTTGTCTGGACCCACGACGGACGACGCCGGCGACGAGTTCGCCGATGAGCTCACGGACGATGTGCCCGACGGATGATGCACGAGCCCGCCGCACGCGTCGGCCGCCGCTCGGGAGCGCTGCATGATCACGTCCACGATACTTAAAATGGCTTGCACGCGCTCCACCATGTCGCTCACCTATGTCGCATATTGAGGAATGAATGTACGTCCAAACATGAGTTAATATGGATTTGTGTGTGTGGGTATATTACAAACCAAATGGGATCGACAGAAGCAATTAGAAGGCCAATCAGATCGCAGGAAATCATCAGTTCCACCAATCAACAACGTACGAGTGTGTGACTTGAATTAGTGTGATACGCTGGACAAGTTGTTATATAAGCAAAATGTTGTATTGTCGATATATTCGAAATTGGAGCTCAATCGAAGGAGCACCAAGACAATCGATATACGACCAATCAAAACCAAGAACAATATTCAAGTGGCCAATCAAATCCTCTCTTTGTCCAATTCAACATCGAATTAGTCTAACATCGGACGATTCTTACAAAAGACTCTACAAACAATCGATCGAAAGATTTGGCGAATCAGCGCAAAAATCAACCAAATTTTGGGTAAAACGACAAACAATCGATCGATGGATTTGGCAAATTATGATAAAAAAAGTCCAAATGTTGGCGCTAAAAGGACAAACCTTGCCTTGCAAACTACCTATTTTAACTGTCATTTTGGTGCAAAAAAGCCCATATACACGCTCGTTCTGGAAATCATCCCACGCATTCCACACAACCAAAGGCAACCAACCGCAAGCATACAGTATGTCGCCACGATATATCATAATATATATAGATATCCCCTAAAACCCAGAAAAAGTAAAAACTAGACCAGTTTTCTCATCGAAACAACACAATCATCTCGATCGTCGTTGTACCTGCATCGTCAGTTCCAAGCCGGCAACGACCATAGGTCGACCGCGCGCCGTGGGGGCCATGGGATCTGCGGCGGCGTTTGGCGGCACTGCATGTATGAGAGGGGACGCCGGGATTGGATGAGGGGGGGATGAAGACAAGGGCAACGTGGGGGTGGTAATAAAAGTCGAGGAGGGGGGGGTGGAAGGGGGACTGAGCCCTCGTGACATGTATCGATGGCCGCCCGTGGCTGGGGCGGATGTGGACGTGAGCATCGCCGACGAGGTGGATGCCGCCAGGTCTGTCTTGAACGGGTTGATCCGAAGCGACGACATGGAGATGGGCACGAGGTCGGGGCTCACTGGCAGTTGGGAAGATGGCGATGGAAGCAGCAGCGGCGGCGGCACTGGGACGCTTGTCTTGAGGATGGACGACGACGACGACGTGGAGGACGCGCTGCGCCGCCGGTACGACTGCATCATGCTCGCCCGGTACGACTCGTGCAGTTTCGAGTGCGGCGGTGGCGGTGGATTGGTGCGGGATATTGGGGCAATGTCCACGGGGTTGGTGCGAACCAGTGTCGCAGCTAAACGTACACTGTTGGAGCGACAACAACGTCAGGCAAAACGTACATAACAGCATCGCAGAAGAAGGGGGGGGGCGGTCGAGGAACGGTGCGTGGAAGAACTGGTCAAACGAGATGCGACGCTTGGGGTCTCGCACCAGCAGCCCCTTGATATGAGTCAATCACAGGATGTACATATAGAGATATAGAGAAATGGGAGATGAAGTTGCTACCTCCATGAGCGCAACGGCGTCGCGGCCCACAGGCAAGTCCTTTGGAAAGCGGACGTTGTCACGTTGAATGTTGTGCAAGAGCTGCACTTGGTTGGCGCCGTTAAAGGGCGGCCGCCCCACGACCTACTCACGCTCATATGATCACCGACGACATGGAGAATGAATCGACCCAATATATCGGCGGAATATGATTTAGCCAATCAGAAACCATCCCCAACATTGAATTAGTGTGTGCATGAAATTAGTGTGATGATCCCAATCGCCCTTGTTTTACATGCAAAACTTTAGTAGAAAGAATACACCGATCGATGGATTTGGCGATTCCGCATAAAAGTCCAAATTCATTGGGGAACACGGCAATACCATTTCGTAGAGGATCGTGCCGACGCTCCACAGATCGGCCTTGTTGTCATACTTTTGGAACTGCAGGATCTCAGGAGCCTACATGCAACCGCCATATTACATGCAAAGAAGATGGCCACAACTTCAAGTGGCAAGAAAGGACATGCATGGGGTACCATGTAAAGCGGGGAGCCGCAAAGCGTTTCCGCGAGCGACGTCGACTCCAAGTGCCGCGCAAACCCAAAGTCCGCTGGAAGTGCCAATGTCAGATGATGCCGATAAGAGGGGAAAGAGAGAACGCACCGATTTTCAACGACGACGTGGCCGACGGTTCGGTCAAGAGGAGGTTCTGGGGCTTTAGGTCGCGATGGATGAGGTTGAGGCTCCATAACACGTGAAGCCCGTCGGCAAGTTCGCGCAGAAAGTGGCGCGCGGTGGCTTCTGTCACGACGCCGTTGGGTTGCTTTTTGATGAAGTGCTGGAGGTCGCCGCCGTCGCAGTACTCGAGCATGAGGTAGATGTGCTTGTCGGTCTTCTTGATGTCGTACAACTTGACAATGTTCGGGTGGTTGATTTGACGCATGATGGAGATCTCGCTCTCGAGGTTCTCCAACAGCTTTGGGTTCAGTTTGGTCTTGTTGATGGCCTTCACGGCCACTGGTACGTTTGTCACCTTGTGGTACCCTTTGTACACGATGGCGAAGGATCCGCTTCCAATGCGCGCGGTGACCACGTAGTCTCCTACGACCGCTTGCTTCTTCTCCATATCTCACCAAGGAAGAAGGCGACCGAATGGAGTGTCGCCGCCGCCGCCGCTAGAACTTGGCTGTCGCTGATGGGAATCGTTTTTAAAACTCTGAACCCGACAAATCACATTCCTCGGGGATTATCCGGAAATTGCTTCCCCGCCGGAATTTAATGGTCAATTTCACGACCCCCATGTTGGGGTAATGCAATTTTATTTCAATACGACGAGGAACGTATCCGGATAGTTGAAGTTCGCATGTTCGCACAAGCAAAGATACTTTAATGAAGGGGTGTTAGACTGGAACGAAACGTCTGTAATTTGGTGTTCACGGAGGGTACAGTCATCACGATGATGGCAGCAAGCAAAACCCACAATGTTAAGCTTACAACAAACACGCGTATGCAGCGCTGGAGTAGCCGCAACGTTGTAACGGTACTGAAGTTCTCGTGGACCTACAACCCTTCTATAAAGTACTCCTTGGATTCTTGCTCTGCTATTGGTCATTCCTCCACCAATTACAATTGAGAAGATGACCTAGTTGAATTTCGTCCGATCCAATCCCAGAAGCCGCGGCGGAACTGTCGGCATCCGACGTGGATGTAACACTGACGGACATGAGCATTCGTTATTGACATCGCTACAAGACACAACCGTGATGCGCTACTCGCCGAGAGCATTTCTTATCCGTTCAATGACTCCCGACGCCGTGGCGCCGTCCAGGATGTCTTGCACCGTTCGTCCCTTGTTGTCCTTGATGTGGCGGTCTAGTTGAGCTGCAACGAGCACCTTGATGGCAGCGACGGACGCCATTTCCACGGCATAATGAAGCGCCGTCTTGCCTTCGGGACACTGCGCATTCAAGTCGGTGGGGGCGGCCAAGTGTGGCAGGAGTAACTCGATGTAGTCGGTCTTGTTCCACGACGCAAACTTGTGTAACGCCGTAAGTCCATATGCATCCGCGCCGCCGGGGTTCACCTTCTCCACATCCGCTAGATGCCGCGTGATGGCGTCGAGGTCCCCGGGGAAGTCGATTAGCTTGGACAGCGCCGTCCTGCCGTCGCCATTGCTTACGTTTCCGGTGGTAACACCAGACACCTTGCCTTCGTCTGCCTTGAACATGGCTTTCACCACCGTCTCGGTCTTCTTGAGCTGAACGCCTTTCAGTCCCCCCAACGACATCATCATGCCCATTTTGGGTCGCGATTGCGCCTGGAGCGCCGCCGCCGCGCGCTCCTCCTCCAACTTGGCACGGTAGGACTCTGTGGTACCGTGGATAGCATCGGCATGCTCTTGGGAGCATCGAGTTCGATCCCATAAGTACGCATTGAACGTCTCGACGATGGGGTTTTCCGCGTTGTCGTGGCTCACGTCCTTGGGACCGCGTCCCCACTTGTCCGTCACCGTGAGGTCTGCGCCGAACGTAAGCAACAAGTCCGCGGTGCGATGCGCGCTCTTGTCCCCAGACCCGGCGCACAGATGGAGCGGTGTCTCGCCGTACTGGTTCTGGGCGTTTATGTTCAACCGGCCATCTCCATGCAGAAGCTCCAACGCTTTCAGGGACGAGTATAAGGCGGCCATGTGGAAGCCCGAATCCCCATTCCTGGACACCAAACACACATCGACGCGATCGTCTGCGAGGAGAATCCGCAACAGGTTGGCATCGTCGTTCAAGCATGCGTAATGGAACGCTGACTTGCCGTCTTTGTCGACCTTGTTGATCACTTCCGCGGTCAGGGAAGGGGATGTGGACGTTAGAAGATCATTCACATGATCCAAGTCGCCGCATGCCGCAGCATCCACGAAGGCCGTTGCGGGGAAGTCGAAGACAGTTGCCATCGTCCAAAGTGCGGCGGTGATCGAGTTTCAAAAGTGACGGCCGTTTATTGGATAAAAATACGAAAGATAGCACGTAGCAAATCTGTTTGTCGCGATTTTATTGGCTAATATCCATCGCCAGAAACAAAAACAGAACCACAAAATCAGCCAATCAGCACAATCGAATAATAGATTGGCCAATGTTAAGCTTTGAAGTCCTCGAGGAATGACGCGTGTGGCTTTGTCCGTCGTTTTGATTGCCCCCTCCATGTTGGGTCGAAGCGGCGACTCGATGGCTGAATGCGTCAGCTGGTGTGGTTACTCTCTACACAACCGCGAGTCGTGTATGGGCTGATCAAAAACCACTACTACTGTACGACGTTGTGCACGAGGTGAGCTCGGCGCAGTGGGTAGACAATAATGGGTCGAAGGTCATGAGCAACCGGTAGGCCTCCTATTTTGACGGCGTCGAGTCGTCTCCGTGGGCGGTCAACTGCTGGGTCCATGTCTCAACCGCCGCACCTTTCAAGGTTTATGATCTAGATGGAGCGGTGTGCAGAAGCGTTTCACGAACTACATGTGCCAAGAGGGGAACCTGCCTCGTGGCTAGCAGAGTCTGCGCCAAAGTACCCTTAACGTGTACTAGTATGTACAGTACTACTATATATTATATTCATAAGTAGTAGCGCCACTTGTAACAAAGATTGCTAGCTCACACAATCAGGATGAACTCAGGACTTTGCACGATGGACACTTGACGACGTGAAGTTGTTTTCACTTGAACAACGTATGCGTGTATTTCAGCCAATCCAATTCATTCGTCAACTTCCATGGAAGCTCCTTCGTTTCCCATTCTGTACTAGTATCACATGACGTACATAACAGTGATTGCTGCTGGTAGTTACGATTCCATCTCCCATTGAATACTATGCATGATATATTACACCAAGAGCGATGTGACGAGTCCAAGGGCGTGGGACCGATCGAGCCGCACGAGCCCACTGGCGACGAGGGAGTAGAGGGCTCGGATCACAATGCTTTCGTCGACGCCGACGATGGCGGCGACTTGGGTCTGCAGATCGTTCTTGGTCCACTCGCCATCATGCTCGAACAGCACGTGGAGGAGCACGGCGGCTACGTGGCGTTCGGAGGCTTTGATTTGCACGAGTGTTCGCATGTGGGTCTTTAGCAAGGCGGCGTTGGCTTCATGGCTCGCCAGGGCATCATGCGCCCGCTGGAGCTGCGTTGATAGCGCGGCCGCGTCTTCCTGCAACACATCAACTTACCCGTTAGTTACCAAGTCAATGTTTTGAACTACTGAAGGAAAAAAAATCACATCGTAGCGAGCCTCGCCGTTGTTGGCGGTGGCGGCGGCGGATGGCGTGAGCGACAAGATGGACTCCCGCAGGCGACTCCGTGTGGCTTTGAGCTCGTGAAGCGTGTCGTCGGACGCGGCGTCCCCGAAAGTTTGGGCGTTGACCCGATCGGCATGCTTTCGCTTGAGTGAGGCTATTGCCGCAACCAAGTCACCCTTCTCTTCGTCGCGAAGAAGCAGCACTTCCCGAAGCCTTTGATTGTCTCCAAGGATAGACGCGCGGTCTAGCAAACCCCAATGAATATGGCTGCTGCAGCTGAAGTCTCTCAAGCACACATGTTGACTGTTCAGGCGCGAGAGGGGGAATGTGAGAACCGTCATTACCTGGAGGGTGCGCTTGAAGCAATAATGTCGCGTCCAACGAGTCGTTCTCGTGCTGCACGACGGCCAACTGGTCTTCCAAGCGCTCCAAAGACTTCTTTCCAGCCTCCATCTGCACTTCCCACGCCCGTTCGTTCTCTTCCTGGAGTTTATGGATCCGGGAATCCACGTACAAGTCGGAGCTGCGGGTTTTCGCTTGGCGCTTGAGTTGCTTCGTTTCGGCAAGCACGGCGTTGTACCGTTGTTCCAAGTCATCCACGATGATCGTCTGTGCCGTGATGTCTGCATATGGCCACTTGCTTTAGATGCATGAAAGGCATCACGTACCGTCGTCTCCGCTCACTTTGCGGGCCGCATCGCGAAATTCTGCCCAGAACTCTGCGCCTTGCTTGCGGCGCGTCTCTGTCCCAAGATTGCTCGCTTCCTCCGACATCCCTTCCTTGATGACGATGGGAGCATACTCCTTTGTCGAGTTGAACTCATGCTGCCGAATGCTTTGGCTCAGCTCGTCGATGGATGCCATGTTGCAATGACCAAATTCGAAATGCCAGTGATCCGGATAAATATTCTAGCTTTATCCGGTTCATTGGCAGGGTACTGTGAATAATCCACCATGAGCCAAGCTGACGTCGATCGCATCAACTTGGTGCTGCACTATGAGAAGATCTACATGGCGGCGCCGACGCGCCAGCTACCAGTCACGATCCTCACGGGCTTCCTTGGCAGTGGCAAGACAACCCTGCTCAAGCACATCCTGAAGAACCGCCTGAACCTCCGCGTATGCTGTTGCATCAGCGACGTCGCGGCACTCAACGTCGACGAACAGCTCATCACGGACTCCAAGACACGCACATCAACTGGGGGGTTTCTCATGGAAAACGGATGCATGTGTTGTCCGGTGCGCCTCGACCTCGACGACACGAGCGAGTTCAAAGACATTGTGTGGCAAGTGCTGTCGCAAGATGAAGGACTGGTCATGGACTACTTGGTCGTCGAGACCAGTGGTACGCTCATCCTCACTCTCCTCACCCTTAACTCCACCCCCGCATCATCATATTCGTGCCTTGCATGCTCATGCAGAAGTTCCTCTCGACATGTAGGCACGACCGACCCGTTGGCGTTGATCCAAGCGATCCAAGCGCGATTTGGGAAGATGACGCGCGCGCGATTGGATTCCGTCGTGACGGTTGTCGACGCCGAGGCGCTTGTGGACTCTGCGCTTTGTCCCGTGGCCAAGAACCAGCTTCAATGCGCCGACGTCGTCCTACTGAACAAGATGGACCTGCTCGCCGACGATCCAGGTACGCCCGTGATGTGTGACCCGCCATCTAGACTGACGATTCCGTGTCATGACGGTAGAACGACAAGCCGCCGCGCGCGCCATCGTCCAGCAAGTCGCGCCGCGCGGCGTCCAAGTGCATGAGACATCGTTCTGCGACGTGTACCTTCCTCGCATTCTCGACATTTCCCCGCCAGACGGCATCTACAACGCCGTGAGCCACGAAAGCGTCCAAGCGCACTGGAACACGGCCGAAGCCTCATCTTTGCGCCGCACGAATGTCAAGTACGTTTATCCCCTGCTTGCGTTCTTCTTCGTCGAAATTTCATTCAATTTATTTGCTTTTTAATAGGGTTTGTAGGTGCACTCTGTCGTAACCATTTTTGTATATTCTAGATTCATTCGCGTTTCGTCAATTTATATATATATATATACTGTATGTTTTATGGTATTCTATGTATAATATATATATTTGGAACATTGAATCTTGGACTTGGTAACCATATTCCGATTCCAGGTTCGAGTTTCGTCCTTCTTTATATCTCTATTCTGTATATTTAACTCTCTATATATATATAAAATATATATTCTTTTGAATTTTGAATCCTTGGCTTGGGAACCATTTTCCGATTCGCAGTTCAAGTGTGTTGTCCATCTTTTCTATCTCTATACCGTATATAAAGTATTCTATATATTGAAAATTCGCTATAAACAATTCCAAAATTCGCCTGGTTTGTCGAATCAATATTGAATCACGCTGGAGTTCTGATTGGTTGAATATACTTGTCCATTCTATACGAGCCAATCAAAGCCACTCAAAAATGGATTAGCCAATAGCGTCGATTAACGTGATTCGATTCAGCGGCGAGATATTCGACGGGGTCTGGAAATTTCTTATCGAATATACCACAATAATAGTTTATACTATTGATTTTTATAATTTGAAAAAATTGTCAGCCCCAAAGCCGAAACAGTACTTTATTCATTCAATGCGTAGCCTCGACCAATACACAGTGTCGCAGGACACGTGGACCACTGAAGTGTTCGAGTCCAAGAGCCCCATCTCCCTAGCCGCGCTGCACGCGTACGTCGGCAGTCGGCTGCCGCCCACGACGCTTCGAGCCAAAGGCATCTTGTACATTCAAGAAGACCCCACGCATCGCTATGTATTTCAACTCAGTGGCAAACAGCGGTACAATATCATATATATATATATGGCGAAATCACGACAATATCAAGCACGAATATACTGGCATCGTACGTAGCATCCAAGTCGTGTCCACGGGCGTGTGGCCGTGCGCGCCGTCGACGCAGCTGGCAGTGATTGGCACGGATTTTGAGTTTGATCAAGTGCAGAAGGACCTCGAAACGCTGTCACAGAACGACCTGGCGTCGGACGCACTCGCGTGCGCGGACCTCGTGCGCGCCGACGACCGCTTCGAGCTCGTGCACGTTACCGCATCGCATGTATGTACATGCCGAATGTTCTTGTATCGAGTCGTCATATGTATGATATTGTGGTGTGCTTGTATCGAGGATGGATGTGAGACATGGGGAAAGAATCGACACAACCAAATGTACTGTCGATTTCGCAGAAGGATTTAGCCAATCAGATTACAGAAAACCATCACCAACGTCAAATTAGTGTGTGACTTCAATTAGTGTGATACAAACCACCACAGGAGACATTTTTACGCACAAAATTCAGTACAAAGAATGCATCGATCGATAGATTTGGCGATGTAGCACAAAAGTGATCCGAATTTTTATTAAAAGGACAATATGTGTGCTTGTATCGAGGATGGATGGATGTAAGTGTAAATAAACGTCTTTGTGTTTGTACAGATTGAGTTCCGCGTGCGATGCCCAGTGACAACGTTGGACGAAACCATGCTCCGCCATCACCACCACATCGACATGGACGACCTGAATGAGCAATTGGGCGTCGCCGTCAACTTGGCCGGCGGAGGCGGCGGCCTCGTCCTCACGCTTCCCCGTCCGGATGTGGCGCTGCTGGCGTCCGTGGCGGGCCCCCATACCCTGCGGACCATGTGGCCCCTTATCGACCTCCACGCGACCAAAATTCTGCACGTCGTGCGTCGTAAGCTGGCCGAGTGCATGTGTGGCTTTTAATTGGTCCAAAGAGATAAAGAACTATTACTAGGAGTGTTTGTAATTAATGGTTTGCCGTTGCGAGGAATTGAAAATGGCGACCGATGGGAATTTCACAAATAGGAGTGTATGTTAGACTGCAGGCAAGTAAGTACATAATAGTTGGCGTCGATGGAATAGAATAGGCGGTGGCGAGTACTAGTAGTAGTTAGTACTACTACTACTACTAGTACTTGTGAACCACCCCACCAACCAGCCAGGTTTGTTGACGGAACTATCAAATCATAAACTATATTTGTGATATTTTGAAATATATTAGTAAAACAATGAACATCAAATGTGCATCACACCAATCATACGAATCGCTCCCATTGGTCAGTCTAAACATTAGTGTCGCTTATTGGCTACATTATTTATTCGTTTTAAAACTTTGTGCTTTCTGGGGGGAAAGCCAATGAAATTTCGGGCGAGATTTTTGCGATCGGTTGAACAAATCGCGCAAAAGTTGGGAAATTTATAGCAAATTCAGAATATTCATATACCTACCTGTACACGTAAACAAACAACTATGGACGACAGTTGTGGGAGAGAAATATACAACTCTATTAACGATCGTATCGTCGAGACGGCTGCGCTTGGTGCGGTTTGGTCTCGCGCTGCGCGTGCATGTTGCGCAGCCCTTGACGAAGTGCATCCAAATTTGGCCGCGGCGGGCCGAATCCCCGCGGCACTCCGGGGGCGAGCCCGGCGGGGGGCGGGGGGGGGAGCAGGCCGGCCCCGGGAGGGGGGCCAAAGCCGCGCGGGACGCCAGGCGCCAAGTCGGCGCGCTGTTGCTGGTACGGAGGGTACCCGCGGGGCGGGGGGCGCTGGTTGTAGTCGGGTTGGTAGCCGCCGCCTCCACCTCTTCCTCCAAAGTCTCGTCGAGGTGGACTTCGGCCGCCGCCCCGCCCTTGGTAGTACCCCCCGCCTTGAGGCGCGTTCACACGACGTCCAAATGGAGGAGGGGCTTGCGGCGGTGCGTTGTGATGATAACTAGGGGGCCCTCGCCCGCCACCGCGTCCTCCTTGTGGGTAGTTGTTGAAGCTGTTTTGCTGGTGGCTGTACGACCCGCCTTGTTGGTAGTTGTTTTGGGGGCGATAGGTGTTGTTGTTGCCGCCTCCTTGCCAGGGTCCCCGGTACCCGCCTCCACGTTGACGCGCGGCGGTCGCGCCGGCAGCCGCCCCGGCCAAATCCACGATGGAAATGCTCTTGAAACCCAACTTGGGCACGGCGATCGTGCGGTCTTCGGGAGTCACCAGCACGGGCGGCGGCACAATCGCCCCTTCCAGCGTCGCCGACAGATGCTGGCCTAACCATACAGGTATTAATTAGTGTGTGTTTCTATTCTAACCTGGAGCGACATGGAGAAGAAAGGAATATGAATCGACGACACACAACCAAATAGTACATGGACACAAGTATTGAGCCAACACCTCAAGTTGCAGGAAACCATCCTCGACATCTAAATAGTGTGTGACTTAAGAATTCGTGTGTGTTACAGGATAACTTTTCACATATAAAAATTCCACAGAAAACTCGATAGATTGGGAGAATCCATCACCACACACAAGTCTAAATTTGGGGTATTGTCGATTTGAGAGTACAAATTTGGGGAATCGAATCGCGCCGACCAAACCGATCCCCAATCGATCTGATTGGTTGAATTTCATTGAGAAATGGGTTTGGATTGGCTAATAATGTTGAGCTCATCTGAGGTAGCCAATCAAATCGATTTAAATTCCAACGAGAAACCACGCCACAATGAAATTTCACTCGAAAGCACAATATAAAATAGGTATCAATATTGTAAACACTTGAGATGCAAAGTCAGTCGTACCTGCCGCGGGCATTTCAAAGTGAAAGCTCAGGCATTGGTTGTTCGGGACGTCTTGCAGCTCCAGCTTGGACGCTTGGGGACTGGGCACTGTACATCGCAGTGGAAAGTCGCTCGATTCAACGTAGTGGACGTTCCCAAACATTTGAAACGTCGACGGAGTTAGAGCCACCGACTGCAGGCCTTCGGCCGACGGCAGCGGATGGTCTGGCGCGATCGACGCGTGGAAAAAGAGCAATTCCTTTCCAAAGCGCTCGTTCCGCTTCTTCTCGGCGTCCGAGAGCTTGTCGTTGATGGGCCGCATGGCGTCCAAGAGCCGCGTTTCGTCAATGAACGGAAGTAGCACCACCCACAACCTAATCAAGTTGAATATATATATTTGTATATTTATTTATATATATATATATATATACCAGGGCATGGCTTTGCCGTTGGGGTCCATGGGAATGTCTTGGGGGTAAAAGTCAATGATGGGCGATTCCGCATCGGTCAACAGCCACTACGAATGATATTAGGAATTTTCAAATGATATATATTATTCTTTTGATATTGTGTGTTTCAGTCAAATGCGCCAATGTGGGGGAATTGTTGAAATCGCCACCAAATATCGACCAAAGCAGTATGTATGATTGGCTAAAAAGAATGAAAGTTGTTCTATGATTGGCTAAAGAGAATCAAGTCAACATCGAATTCGAGAGTAAATGAAATTAGTGTGACATACGGCGAGTTTTACATTCAAAAGGTCAGGTCAATCAATCAATCGATCGATATAGATTTGGCGAATTAGCACACAAAAGTCCAACTATATATATCTTGGGGAAAAGTCGACAATATATATATATTGACCAACCTGGTATGGTTTTGGAATAGCATGGCGCGAGTCGGCCGGGAACACACCCATGAGCTGCTCGAATGGACAAAACGGCTGACCAACGTCAAACGATATCTTGAACCGATCAATATTTTTCAAATCGGATGCAAACGGGGCATAATGGAACGGGTAGAACCACTGCCACGACGCCACACCCGTGTAATAGTACCGCATGACCCAGCACAGCCCCTCCACGTACGACTGAAATACTTTTTCCCGGCCGCCGCCTGCACATATGTACATGATTATCACTGTAGAAACAAGTATGGTACCAATTTCAATGTCGTCGGCCTTGAGCTTGTCTTCGTAGTAGCGCGTTTTCCAGCCCGGTTCACCGAGCCGCACATGGTCTTTGATTTCCGCCTTGAGTTTGTCCAGTTTGGCCTCTTCTTTAGCTTGAATACGATACTTCAACGCCAGTTCCACGGGCATACTCTGGTACTTGGCTTCTTGGCGCTCGGCGGGCGTTAGCACCTTGGTGCTGTCGTCGTCGTTGTCGTCGTCCCCGGCGGTGGCCACTGCGGCACCTTCGCCTCCCTTGAGCCTCTTGGTTGTCACTGCCACCGCGCCATCTTTAGCTACGGTGGCCATCACTTGGTCGCGTTGGCCACTGGTGAGCCGCCTAGCATCGCGCATCTACCCCAAAAAATTATATATACGGATTCAACGACATATCCAAGGAATACAAGGCGAGGCGTACCGTGTTCTCGCGCTCTTTGGCCACACGGCGCTGGAAGATGCTCTCTTCGACGGCGCCGACTTCGGCCAAGATGACGTCCACCTTGTCCAAGTCGACGTCGCCGCCAGGTTTGGTCAAGTACCCCCCCAATGAAGGAAGCAACTTGGCGTACACGAGCAAGAGGTAGTCCACGGCGCCGTCGCGGATGTCCATACATGGCAAATGCGGCAAGAAGTCGTTGCCGACAAAGAAACACATAAATACAAAGTCGTCCACGATGCGCTCAAAGTCGTACGGAAACGGCAACCTCGCTTGCAGGGGCTACATGGAATAAGAGTCATATATATATATATATATATTCCACCTTGAAATGTCCACAGACACACGGAATATATAGAGTAAACCAATGGCCCAAACTAGATAAGAAATACAAAGCAAGCATACATAGGTGTGTACAAATATAGAGTCCCCTTGACGCGCCAACCCTTTCGAGCCCTGGACGAAGGATATATATATATATATATTGTCGAATTTGGAGTGCAATCGCAACCAAATAAATCGACAGACAATCGACCGACCAATCAAAAGCCAGAAAATGTTTCAAGTGGCCAATCAAACTCGTCCAAGCAATCGAAATAGTGTGTACGACTTATATGAGTGTATATAACATATTTTACATACAACATTCAGTACAAGTATAATCACCCGAAGGAAGAATTTTTTATACTTGAATCAGTACACACAAATATCCAAATAGTGGCTACAAGCACGCACACACACGTCCAACCCATAGAACGCGCACGACCAAATATATATATTTATACTAATATACGACCAAATATATACATATACATATATATATATATTTGGTCGTGCCGGTTCTATGGGTTGGATTGCTGTATATATATATATATATACAGCAATCCAACATATATATATATCTGTATACCGCAATGGACAAATCGATTCAGTGTGTGTCGTGTACTACCTCGAATTCAATCGCCAAGTACTCGCGTAGGATGCTCACGTGGAGAAACTGGAGCGGTTTCAAGTTCGACGGCGCCGTGCTCGAGTCGTGCTCGCCAAACTCGCCGCGCTTTCGCTTCGCCACGGCGTCGGGCACGCCGTTCGCGTCGAGTTTGGTCTGGTTGTTCTTTTGGTCCTTTTCCCATTTGGCCTTGCCGAACAAGACTTCTTCGCGCAGCACCGAAAACTGCGCTTCATGGGTCGCGAGCCCCAGCATGATCAGGTCGGCGTCGAGTCCGTGCAACACATGATGCTGGTTTGGGTCGTAGCCGGGCTGGCTGCGCTGCGTGCGGATGTACGACATGAGCTTGTGCTCGCCTTCCCCCGGCACGCTCGCGTCGGAGAATACCACCTACAACATCATGCGGTCGATATCAAGTATGTACATGAGCATATGAAGACGCAAATTATATGGAGGATGCAATAGATGAGCGTGAATAGATGGAAACGTACCTTGAACTGCTTCCACACGGGGCAATTGTTCATGCGGTCGCGAACGTAAAACCGCATGTACTTGGACAACTTGGCCATGAACTTGGTCCCGGGCGTGATCACGTTGGAATCCCAAGGCGTTTGCTTCTGGGGGGGCTTCTGACCCATGAGCTCCATGTATTCCCGCACTTCTTTGTCGACTTCGGCATGTTGCTTGGCTTCTTGCGCCGACCGGAAACGACGGGAGCGCTGTTGGTTCATCTTGGCGCGGGGCGCGACCCCATCGATCGCCATGTACAGCAAGCGGCGCGGACGTACACACGCAACCAGACGATCCACGTACTCCATGAGTCGAAGGAACATTTCCTCTTCCGTACGAGGTTGCTCGCCATTTTCGGGGTGCGCGCATGGATGGATGATGCCGTTCATGTCAATGAACAAGTTGTCGAATTCCTGTCCATTCGGGTTCGCCGCTTCCATGTCAATGAGGTTGAAGCGCTTACGTCCTTCAATTGTCATCACGCTCTCCTCCACGGCATCGACGATGGTCCGTGGGTACTTCTCGCTTAACCATCGGTAGAACGCGGGGACTCCCATTTTATGCCGATTTCAATCCGAAATTGGATTGGACCGTCGGCGTTGAAGATTACGTTTAAAAAAGTTTAAATATATCTTGCATTGAGTATGCTGTTTAATTCAAAGTCTTTATTCTTCAAAAATCTGGATAATTTATCCGGCGACCTGTGCCCTCACACCACCCAAAGCGAGTGATAAAACGTATTTGGAACCAATAAAACCTACTGGGACCTTTGTATATCATTGGATGAAATACCAAAGTCATTTCGTTCCTTTAAGCCAATGAAATACTCGCATGATCTCAAATATTGTCTTTCCCCAAATATGTTAACTATTAATACTACTTCAAGTATTAATAGTACTAGTACCCGAGTACGGATTTGGGAGCTTATCCGGTTGGTTTTGTGCCCATTTGGCTGGGACATTACACATTTTGGTCGGATGGGGACAAAATCACGCAGCTAACAGTATGTAGTTATCAAATACTAATACGTAGTATCTGTAGTTACCCGGTACGTGGTTCAGCTGTACTGTATAGGAACGATTTGTAGACAGCGAGTTGCGAATGGTCGTAGAGCATCCCCACCGCATCCCAACTACTTCGAAGTTCTACGTAGTATACCGTTCGCTTGTGATAGATTTTGAGCTACTAGTGGTACAGTATGCTCTAAGCTTCGGTTGTCGTTGTGACGTGTTAACTGTAAGTAGATTGGGGGTAGGTATGGACGCTTCTCATGGAGGTACAGCGTATGACAATACATCAGATAGAATGGAATGACTCACACATGTTTTCACTTTGCAGTACGGAGATTTGGAGGCTTATCCGGCTGGTTTTGTGCACTTTTTAGATATCCCAGTCGAATGGGACAAAATCACCCGGATAAGTTACCAAATATCCGTAATTACGAGGTACCAGCTGTTGGAATGATTTTTAAGGATGAGTTGCGAATGCTCTTGCATCGCAACCAACTACTTCAAAGTACTGCGTAGTACGTATACCGTTCGCTTGTGATAGATTTTGAGTTATTAGTGGTATGCTCTAAGCTTCGGTTGTCGTTGTGTAGTTGGTGGTTGACTACATGGACGCTTCTCACGAGGTACAGCGTATGACAATACATCAGATGGAATCAGTCTCATTGGATGGAATCACACTCACGAGTCATTTGGATGCCATAATGCATTTAACGTGGTTCTTGCTTTTTACTTGTCGGCGTGACAAATCTCGACAACGAAAGCAGGATTCATGACGGGCACTATAGCATGGAGCATGTTGATGAGGCCGCAGTCGTCAGATGACCGACGCGTGGGGAAGAAGAGGAAGGTATGCTTGAAGGACTTGCTGAGGGAACGGGTGGATCTGCAGGATGTGTTGCGCACACCTGAGCTGTTCCTCCTCATTACGCAGTTTCAACGCGGCCAGACGCCAGACCTCCAGCCCTTCAGGCAGTTCAAGGCTAGCCAATCGGACAAGATCTCGGCGCTCGTGCCTCTGCTGGACAATACACATGAGGCGTTGACGGCATGGTACAGTATCCACGGCCTCGCGCGGCTGTGCGGTATGTTTCGCTGCTTGGAATACATGCATCCCATCGTCGTGCTCCATGCGCTCGCCCACGGCAACCTCGACGTCCTCCATCATTTGCACACAAAGTGGAGATGTAAGTTAGAATCGTCCATTCGCAACGAAGCCAACGTCATGATTCCCATCATGAACATTGCCGCGATCCACGGCCAAGTTGGCGCTGTCCGCTTCCTCCACGACCGCCAGTACCGCCGCTGCACCCACTTCGCCATGACAGGCGCTGCCCAACACGGACATCTGGAAGTGGTTCAATTCCTGCACGAACACGGCTATCCGTGCCTCGACGACGCAATGAACGTGGCGGCGAGGTTTGGACATTTGAACATTGTGAAGTTTCTACACACGCATCGAAGCGAAGGCTGCACGACCGACGCAATGGATTGGGCGGCAGAAAGTGGATATTTGAAAGTTGTGCAGTTTCTTGACACACATCGAAGCGAAGGCTGTACGACCGCCGCCATGGACGGGGCCGCGGAACATGGCCATTTGGAGGTCGTCCAATATTTACACGAACATCGTACCGAGGGATGTACGACCGACGCGATGGACCACGCGGCGCACGCTGGGCGATTGGACATGGTTCAGTTTCTGCATACCCATCGAACAGAAGGATGTACGACGTCGGCCATGGACGTGGCAGCCGGCGATGGTCATTTGGAAGTGGTGCAATTTCTGCATGCGAATCGATCCGAGGGGTGCACGGAAGACGCGCTGGATACGGCCGCATGGCATGGTCACTTGCAAGTGGTCGAGTTCCTGCATGACCATCGGCCAGAAGGCGGTAGCGTCTTCGCCATGGACATGGCCGCGGCCAAGGGCCATCTAGATGTGATTGTATTTCTGCATACCCGTCGCACGGACGGTTGCACGACCCACGCCATGGACTGGGCATCGCACAATGGACATTTGGAAGTGGTGCAGTTTCTGCATGTAAACCGCACCGAAGGGTGCACGGCGTACGCTCTGCGGAGCGCGCGAACTTCGGGGCACACGCGCGTGGTGCGCTTTCTCGAACGCCACGGGTACAAAAACGAAACGACGCTCGAGTCGGCGCTGGCGGACGACAGCCTGCGCACGCACTTGGACGACATCGTCGGGCATATTTTGACCCATTAATAGTGTTAAATCGACAACAAGATATGTCTCGATTAATAAATTACAGCGGGGGACGTCGACGGGTGGGGGGTCGATGCAAGCGTGATGGCGGCCATAGCAGTGGCAAAGAGGAGCGCGTTGTGGCTATAGACTCGGCGAACGAGGTCGCCGTGTGTATGACGAGCATGCATGATAACGGCCTGAATGGATCCTCCCAACGGCGGCCACACGTCGCACAGATCCCGAATCAACTGGACGGTCAGGTCCGTCTTATCGCGGTTCAGCGACGCTGACACGATGGACGTGACCAACGCCGCCGCAAACGTTTCGTGGGTATGTGGTGGTGCAACGAGGACGTGGTGAATACACCGCACGACGTCGGCCACAACCGATGGGTGGTCGAGGGGGATGTGGGGCAGCGTGTCAGACAAACAGCACAGCACGACTGGAGTCACTTGTGTGCACGTCACTAGGTCGGCAAATGCACGGAGATGGACGATCGGGTCGTCCTCCAGCACAAGCTTGGAGAGGGCATACATCCGATCAAGCGCCGTGGACGCCGTAGAGATGGGCGTTGGTGGTGTAGACTCTTTTTTCATCTTTCGCATGCGCGCCACCTACGTAAGAGTGTCCAAGGATGACAAATCAAAAAACAAATAGGACAACGCGATGGGCAATTTACAATGTGCTTGGTAAACTCCATGGCCAAACTGGTGTGTACGAGGGTATCGAGACTGGCCACGGCGCGTTCCGTGGCGAGGTCAATGGCGATTGCCTTGACGCAATGGGGCAAAGTTGGCGACAGCAGCGACGTCATGGCCAATGGAATATGGTGTCTGCAGTATGGTTGCGACGCTTCCCGAGCTTGGCGGCAGGCCTACCGTATGTCGTCTTGTGAAAACCAAATGCTTTTCCATGAAATACATCTTGGACAGTTGCTTGCTCACCTGCGCCTTGGCCGCGGGCAAGTGCAGCCGAACTTGTGCACTGATCCAATTCGTTTGGTCGTCTTTCACAAGGGTCGGGTCCATCGTCGCATGCAATCGATCGACGAACGCCGCCGCGGCAGGCTGCAGCAGCGTCGTGTTGGCAAAATGACACACGTTGGTCATCATCGTGTCGACCACGAATTCGATCGTAGGTTTCACGCTCGGGTATTGCTTGTAAAACGCCAGTGTTAGCGCCGACTCGACGAGGTTCTTTGGAGAAAACGGCGAAGACGTGGACGGTGGCGTCGACGGTGGCGGGGTGTCTAGCGACGGCGCCAGGAGCGACGGTTCTTGGACGACCAGCGGTCGAAGTTTGACTTTGCGGCTCGTCGCTTGCTTGTCATCTTGATGGATCGTTTGCAGGAATCGCCGAAACGTCGGCACGTCCTACATATGTACAACAACACAAAATGAAAATATACCCGTCAAGTGTCAATCGATCATCCTGCGGCATGGGGACTCGCATGACAACGAAGAAGAATGAGGCAACGTGGACATTCGTGGGTTTTCTTACTTGAACACAACATTGGACAAACAAGTTGTTGGCAAGGAACAAGGTACCGTCCATGCCTTGACAAGGTTCGTCCAGCAAGGTCGCGACGTTGTTGCTTTCGTCGTCGGTGGCAGTGGAGCCACTCATCGACGGCACCAGTCGTCTTGCCGCCACCATCATCCCGGCCTGCGATGGTTGTTGTTGATGTGGAGTGCCCTTCAACAACGCTTCCAGTTGCAGCGCCACGAACCACGCGTTTTCCCGCGGCGATTCGTTCAATCGACGGGAACAAAACACTTGGTGCAGCCTTGCTAGCACGGCCCGAAAGTACGCGGTGGCGCACGCCACCGGGTCTTTTGCCACCATCGCCATGTATTCGCACACCCAAGGAACGTGGGCCATGAGCGTATGTTGGGCCACGGCCGTCTAGTCCATGTGTTCGTCAAGTGTGATGACCTTCTTCCAGCATCATCACTGTCCTTCAACGCGAATCAATCGTACCGTAATATAAGACGCAATGTCGAGGGGCACTTGGACGTGGTTGCGCATGCCAATAGCTTCGCGAGTGGCGGCTTCCATGGCGGCGTTGTGTTTACTAAACGAGCGAGGGGTGGACGACCAGCATGGCGCGTAGTGGAGCCACCCGAGAAACTTGCCGAGCAACTTGGCTTGGAGCACTTTGACATTGAATTGTTTTCGCATGGCCGTGGTCGACAACGACGACGACGACGTTGGTTGAAACGTTGCGAGGGTTTGGCACAGATGCGACTGCAGCACCACAGCCACCAACGACGAAAACTGGAAATGGTTGGTCATGACCAAAAAGTCATAGAAAAAGCGCTGGTTGTCCGGGAACGAGGCGGCGGCGGCGCATGGTGCTGCTGCATGGGATGGATCTCGTGGCTTTTCCAACGTCAATTGCGGTTGCGTCGACGGCACATGCGTGAATCTCTGGTGTAGTTTCCGCAGCCGGTCAGCATTCTTGAGCTGCTTGTCGTCGTGGATGATCTGACGCACGAGGTCGTGGTCGTGTTCGCCCACGGGGTTGGCCGCTACTTGAAGCAACTCCATGACAAACAACTGGGCAAACCACCAGTGGTTCTCCACGAGCAGGTCGTCCAACACTGCCGATGGCGGACGCACGTCCTCTTGACGGCGGACGGCGATGGCAGACTGGGCATTCTGCCACGACCGCAGCAACGCGAGAAACCCGTCGCGGGCCTTTTCGCGGTTTGTAAACACGACGCTTTCGTGGGGCGTGCGGAAATGGAGCCTCGAGTCCGTGTCTTCTCGAAACGGCAGGGCAAAGTTGCCATGCAAGGACGGGATTGCTACACGTTGCACCGTGACGTGTATATATCATCAGCATATACTGTATATTGTGCTTTCGAGTGAAATGTCGTTCGAATTTAAATCGATTTGATTGGCTACCTCAGATGAGCTCAAAATTATTAGCCAATCAAAACTCATTTCTCAATGAAATTCAACCAATCAGATCGATTGTGGATCGGTTTCGTCGGCGCGATTCGATTGCACCCCCTCCCCATATTTGTATCAAATCGACAATATATTGTAGTGTGTTTATTCTAAACTGGAGCGGCATGGGAAATGAATCGACACAAATAAATGTACAGAAAAATCGGCAGAAGGATATAGCCAATCAGGTTGCAGGAAACCATCATCAATGTCAAATTAGTGTATGATTTCAATTAGTGTGATACCCATCACCGCAGGACACCTTTTTACATACAAATTTCAGTAACAATGAATCGATCGATAGATTTGGCGATTCCGCACAAAAGTCCAAATTTTGGGTAAAAGGACAATATCATCTGCATACAACAACACACAAGGGTCGTGGTAACATGACTAACGATATGCAACTCAACAGGCGACACAGTATCCCTATAGAAACCCCCCACAGGACACGCACCTTCGCTTTCGATTGGAAGCGGCGCGCCGGCGACTTGACTTTCCGTCGCGCGATCGCCTTCGTACTGGTCTAAGTACAGCACGAACCGGTCGAGAAGCGGTGTGGCGACCCTGGCTTTTTGAAATGCGTCGATCACGAGCTTGAGGATATCCACGCCGTACGCTTCGAGCCAGGATGGAATTGTGTTCAAGACGGACATGGCAAACTGCTTGGACGTTGGGTCGTTGTCGGAAGGCTTTTGAACGAGGAGGGAGAAAAGCCATTGTAGCTCGATGGTGGTGCAGGGGGCGAGTTTTGATTGAAGTAAGAACGAGTACAGCAGCGCCGCAGGGGATGGCGTATGGTCAATCTCGTCGAGTACCAGAACTTCATGCTCCACGTCGGGTGCATTGTCGAAGTCTGGGGGTGGCGGGTCGTGGTTGTTGGTGCTTTCCATGGATGGTTGGGGACACGACAGATGGGAAGTCGCGCCTTCCTGGAGGCTGGACGGAGGTGCCATCAATCGAGTCTCGAATTTTGCCATCACGTCCTTCTTCAGGGGTACGTCGACATTTGCGGCAGAAGTGAACAGTTTGCCGCCACCGCCATCGTCTACCTGCGGTGTCGTGGACAGAAGCGTGGATCGGATACGACGTTTGTCTTTGAGCGGCTTTTTCGGTGTGTGTATTGCTTTAGTGGCTTTATTTGGGGCCCCACCTAGTAAAACAAGAACATTTAATTCTTAGACTTGGTGTATCTCGATCGCTGACGTACCAAGGGGCGGAAAGTCCTGATTCGTCCATGATGGAGCAGGTGCAGTCGGCTGCGAGGAGAGGGCCACGCGCTTCTTTGGACCCTTGACCTCGCGATGTGTAGTTGAAGGGGTGTGGACTTGATGCGTCGAGTTTGCCACCATAATGGGAGGCACATCCGTTGCTTGTTGCGGCATCACGTCTTTGAATTCGCTCTTGAAATGTACACGAAGGTAGTTGAGGTATGCGTAGATGAGCTGATCAGGAGTCAATGTGCTCTGACGAATGTGATGCTCCGGTTTGAGCTCGAGAAAGGACAGGTCGTTCATTTCGCGGACGCTGCTGCCCTCGTCGAGTGAGCTGCACCTGGCATAGAACTGTACGCGAGACAGGATCCATTGCTGTATCTCCAGGCAGTACCCACTTGCACATCCCTTCCATACTGCTTCGCCCAGGGCTTCTTCAAATGCTGTCTCGTCCACCGGCGTCGTCCCTGTGACTTCCACCATCTTTGGCGGGATGGCGAATTTTTGATTTTTGAATTTCGATGAATCAAGGGCCAATCAGATCGCGACAAATATCCGGAAGGGTATCCAGAATAGTAGCCTTTCTAGTAATACTAACGGTATTTCGGTGCCACGATAAGAACCACCATCAGCATACAGTGTACAGTGTGTACAGTGTACGCATGTGGGGTACTATAGTGCCACGTACTAGTATTCGAGTACGCGTGCCGTTATATCCACTTATTTAATACTACGTACTATGCCTACCATTAAGTAAAGAAGTCGTACAAGTAATACAACGTAGGTACTCTATGTAGTACAGTAGTTGCATGTCTTGATCTTTGGTTACACTTTCATACCCTCGATAACGCGATCTGTCCCCTATTACTAGTAACTTGGAGCGCCGAAGAAATGACAAGTTTTGTAAGAAGTGATAGGTACCTATTTTCACAATATATATGTAATTGTAAGCTTGCTTCATGTATTTTATAACCCAACCATAATTATTTACGGATAGTACAAGTATAGTAGCTGCCTTAGCTACTACCATGCCTTTCTATGCTTGAGGTATGCAGATTCTACATTTCAATAATTAAATAAAGAATACATTAATGATACTTGAAAACTGTATGCGATGTATCTAAATGCCAGATTTGGCCATGGCGTGTCAGCATCTCCAGCTGGTTGTCCGTCTGAGAAAGGATGGGTTTCCAGCAAACGACAACCACAACAACTCGAGTGCGCTGCGCAGCACCATGCTGCTGCCCGTTCCACCCAAGTTCTTTCCTCCTGTGAAGCTGAATGAGGATGACGAGTCGCACTTGCGGCGCCTGGCCAAGGAGAAGCTACGAGGGATGCAGGATTTGCTACAAGGACGGTACTCGCAAATGATGAATTGGGTCCCATGTGAGGTACCGGTACAAGTCCATCGTCGCCGTCGATGGCTTGCTTGACGACTCTATACACAGGAGAAAGGACAAGCGACGTCTCTCGACGGACCGCAAGTGATGAAGACCCACTTCATCGACATGGAGAACAATTCCCAGCGCGCCCATGCGTGCATGTTGTATCGGTCGACGATCGTCGTCAACGCGTCCTTTTCCGAGGTATGTACATACAATACTTGTCTAGTTCGTCATCTTTGAATTCCCATGTTGACGACCTTTCCCGCAGGTGATGAATGCGATCGCCTCGTGCAAGACGGACGAGTACCGCAAGCAAATGCGAGGGCTGTATGGCTCCGACTTTGTCGACGGCGTGTGCCTGCACAAACTTCCGCAAACCAAGCAAAACCGACCCGCGTACTTTTACACAGCGCTCAAGTGGTGTGTGCTGCAGCCCCCGTCCAAAGTGAACGGCCTCGGCAGCGACTTTTGCTTTCTCGAGTATGCGGGCATCCACAAGGAAACTGAAGTCAACGAAAAGGTATGGCATCATATTCACCATATTCAGCTTGATTACCCCCTGTCGCATGTATTAGATGGGGTTCTGCATCCAGCAAAGCGTGTCCATGGACAGTGAAGTGCCCGACTTTGCACACTACGGCCTCCAGCGCGACACATTCCAGCGCACGGGGCTGCTCGTGACGGCCACCGGCCGCGAACACACGGTCCGGCTCACGTCGTTCTGCCAGATCCAAAACGCCCGGCTGCAACCCGCGCACCCGCGGGACCTCGAGCTCATGATGTTTCGGCGCGTGGCGGCGGTGCGCGACTTCGCCATGTACCTGGAGCGAGGTCGGTTGGGCAAGATGCAGTTTGTCGAGCGCTGGCGGTGGATTCCAGACACGGACCGGCGGACATGTGCCGTGTGCCTCAAGATGTTTCTGTTTCGACGCAAACATCATTGCCGCCAATGCGGCGAAGGTACGAGAATCCTTGGCCACGACATGTGATACAGTAGCATGTCCACGAGTTGGCTACGAGCCTATCTCGAATGGACTTCGTTATGTGAATAGTGTGTCTCGAATTGACTACGTTATGTGATTAGTACGTGTAGAATGGACTATGTTATGTTATTAGTCTATCTAGAATTGGCTACTTTAAGTGACTAGTATGTCTAGAATTGACTACGTTATGTGACTAGTACGTGTAGAATTGACTACGTTATGTTATTAGTCTATCTAGAATTGGCTACTTTAAGTGACTAGTATGTCTAGAATTGACTACGTTAGTAGGTGTAGAATGGACTACGTTATGTGATTAGTACGCGTAGAATTGGTTATTGTATGTGATTAGTCTGTCTCAAATTGGCTACTTTATGTGACTAGTTACTCTCGAATTGACTACGTTATGTGATTAGTATGGGTAGAATAGGCTACTTTATGTGATTCGTCAGTCTCAAATAGGCTACATCATGTAACTAGACAGTCTCAAATTGGCTACTTTATGTGACTACTCGAATCGCCTAGTATATATCAGTTATCTTGTAGTGGTATGCAACATGTGCTCGCCCCATCGGGAGATCGACGCGACCAACATTGGCCTCACCCGCGTGCGCATTTGCACCATTTGCATGATGCGCGCTCGAAGTGACCAAGCAATTCCGTACAGTGCAGACGACCATACAAACGGTCATACATGACGACGTGGCTTGCTGTAGGGATGACCACTGCGGCAGCTCCGTGTTCACTGTCAACGTTGACCCGAGCGTGGTCGAGTTTTTGCAGTCGCCGCCGCACAAGGGCGGCCGCGAACATGACGACGATAACGACGACGACGAAGCATTTGACCGACAAGACAGCGACGAAGACGATGAAACGAGGCTCGTCGTGGCTCGACGTACTACTTTGCAACAGCAGCGAACGGCGTTGGCTTACGACACGATGCATGTAACAACATATATATATATATATACATGCAAAATGCATACTACATTTCATGAAATATAGATCTATTATCTACACGCGACTTCCGGAATACTATTTCGTAATATCGTCAGACATTTGGGCTTTTGCCCCTTCATTCGCCCCATCTATCCATCGAGATTCCGTTTGTCCTGACGATTTGTATGGAAAAATCGTCCAATGTCACACTAATTTCATGAATTTGCTGCCTTGGTCGAAGAGAGGATAGTTTTGATTGGCCACTTGATGCGCGTTCTCGGTTTTGATTGGTCATCGAGCATCGATTGTCTGCTGATTTGGTTATTCTGCTCATTCAAGTGAGCAAGCGCCCACTCGAATTTTGAACATATCGACTTGACAAGATTATGAATACGAACCGTTGGTTTGTATATATATATATATATAATATATATGTCCATTTCCCCAACAATTGGACATTTGGTGCTGTGTCGCCAAATCCATCGATCGATTGATTGTTGTGTGGTTTTTGGTGCTGATTTGTTTGTCTAGTTTTGATTGTCATCACACTATCTGAAGTCACCCCCCACTACTAAAGGATAGTTTCCTGCAACCTGATTGGCTACACCCCCTCTTGTATATCATACAATTGCATGTGTCGATTCCTTTCTTTTCCATGTCGCGCCAGTTTAGAATATAAACGCACACAATGTTGATATCATTAGCGATCCAAGCAGCAGGCGACCACACCTACATTTGCCCCGACCCCCAGCAATAACAGCAACATGCTTGCGAGCACGCCGCGCCCCGTGCTCGAGTTCGACGACGACGACGACGCCGACTCGGACTTTGTGCCGGTGGTGCTGCCGCCTCCTCCCGAACGACGTACGTATATTTCTTGTGGAGACGGCAAGAAGAAGGATCATCGTGGCAATCGACATACCTATTGTGCCATTGATGTACCCAAATACCTTTGGACATTTGTGCTGAATCGCCAAATCCATGGATCGCGATTCATTGTACTGAATTTTGTATGTAAGAAAGTGTCCTGTGGCGATTTGTATCACACGAATTGAAGTCTCACACTAATTTGACTTTGTTACTGGCTTCCTGCAATCGGATTGGCTATATCCTTCTGCCGATTCTTATCGATGATCCACGGAATTTTGTATGTAAAAAAAGGTGTCACACTATTTGAAGTCACATACTAATTACAAGTGAATGATGGTTTCCCCGTACAATCTGATTGGTTCTATTAATCCTTGTGATTTGGTGGTATCTCAAATGTTCATGCTCCATATGTTTCGCTCGAGTTTGTTAGAAGAGACATCTCAACCATCCATACCTGTATGTAGGCACGTCGAGCAACATGCGGCCGTCGCCCCCGTTTCCACAGCCCAACAACTCTCATCCCCAGAGTAACAACCATCGCCTCTTGACATTTCCCCACCCGCAGCATACCCTTTCCGCGTACAGACCCCAGCAGCCGCCGCAGTTGGCGCAGTTTCCATATCCATCCTCATTCAACCAGGCCAGCGACATGGAGTCCACCGTGAGCTTTCAAACCAACGCCACCGACGACACCGAGTGTCCATATGCGACCCAAAACTATGGCAAACTCATGCACGAGTTTGACCAGCCCCCCCCTCCCCAGCAGCCCCCCCACTCCCCCCACCCCCACAACAACAACTCTGTCGACCACGCCTTCGGTACCAACTTGTCCAGCAATCGCAGCAACCCACCGCTGCCCACCCGACGACCCCCCCCTGTTGACAACCTGAGCAACTTTACCCTGCAACTCCAGGTACGATGATGGCGTCGTCACTAGACGTGATATAAAATATGGCTAGATTTCCGAAGCTACCCATCCTACCCCACCTGGCCCCCTCACGATGACTTCAGCCGGCACGACCGTGTGTCGGCCGCCCCTGACGTCCAACGTAGACCCGCCGCAGTCCCTCCCGCCAACCCTCACGGACAGCATGAAAGCCAGCCTCTTGGCCCGCCAAGTGTTGCTTAAATCTCGGTACGGATGGCCCATAACACTGTAACAATCATGAATTTGTAATCGTAGCGATCGAAGCGAATACACGGCGACGCGACCCCCCGCATCGGGTCGAACCAGCAAAGTCCGCAGCTTGAGCCATCATGAACAGCCCACGACAACGACGACAAACCAGCCACAAACACAAACAACTCCCCGCCCCAACTCGACGTCGATGGAACCCCCGTCCTCTTCCCCCCCCCACGACGATAAGGACAGTAACGACGACGATGACATCGTCGTCCTCCACGCCTCCCTCGCGTTTGCCCGACTCAACCAACGGCCGACGTCCACCACTGGCCCAAACAAAGCCATCGACCTAGCACTGGACTTTCTCACTGTGGACATCCCCCTCCTACCCGACCGCCTTCACGTACGTTCGTACAACCCACATGACCCATCGCATGACATGTCTAGGTCCTGCGCTCCCTTGAGCTCTTGCTCACGGCGATCCTCGACGAACATCCCGATTGCCTTCGCATTGACGACAGATCTAGCTACCGCCCCCTCGTCGCAGCCTACCCGTCCGTCCAGCATGTCCTGCGCGCCGTCGGATACACGTCGTCATCTGCGACAAGTTTGGTGCTGTCGTTGGACCAGGTCGACCAGAGCGTAGTTAGCCACGCCCTGGCCAGTGTCAAGCGTCGAAACAGAGGGCCGTAACACTACTTTTGATTGGTTACCAAGCATCTACTGTACATTGTCCTCCCCCACCACCGTGAATCGTTAGGATCTCCCATCCCCCGAATCACTTCCGTCCTTGATATGTCTTGCTCCTCCAGACATTACAGATCGATCCCCTTTGCAATCCGTCGAGTTATTCGTGCAATAGTTATTAAATATATATATATATATATATATATATATATCAATACGTATATGTATAGCGAAGACTCGATGGTTCCTATATTTTTAGAGCTATATATATATATATATACTAGTACATGTATATAAATACGTACAGTATATATAGCGAAGACTCGTTGGTTCCTCGATTTTTACGGCTAATATGAATATTAAAAAACCGCTCGAAATCCTACCTTCAGTGCATGTACAGTACTGTAACGTTATATAAATATGGTATTATCAAGTACTATATATCTATGTCTAAATAAATATATTTACTACTAGGGTACTAGTAGTAGTAACACGGTAGTATATATATACTATTAATAGTATATATATACTATTAATAGTATATTTATACCCTATGGTACAGTAGGTACTGTAGCTCCTAGAATTTATTATCTACTAGTATGTATCTCTCTTCTCTCTCTCTCACTATATATATATACAACTACAGTAGTAGGATATATGTAATACCTTGAAACCAGACGATTCCCACATATGATTGGAATTGTTGTTAATATTAGCTGTAAAATTTCGATGCCAGCAAGTCTTGGTCATCAGAGTGGACAGGGGACACAAACCGATAGTCGACGACAACCAGCCCCATCTTTCGAAACGACGCCACGTACCCAACCGTGCCCGACACATGGCGCGTCAGCTTGTCTAGGTCAAAGTTCTCTGGCACTTTGATCACAACGTACTGCGTCCGTCCGACGAGGCGCTCGCATACGTCCGCGAGGGGGGTATCGCCGAGGAAGAGGTCCACCGTCGACCGCGACCGGTACTCGGGGCCTCCCCACGGCGGGTCCACAAACACCACGTCCTGACCAAAGCACTCGACCACGTCCACGTAGTTGGCGCAAAAGCACTGGGCGTTGACGTATGACATGACGGCGTGGAGGTTGTGCACGAGCATCTGGAACCGCGTGGCGTCGATCTCGACGGCCTGAACGTACCGGAAGAAGGTGCAGAAGGACGCTGTGTTGCCGCCGACGCACGCGGTCGCGTCGGTGACGACGCTGTCGGGACTGAGCCCTGGAAGCGTCATGAGGAAGTGCGAGATGCGCGCCGCGGTTTTCATGTCTGTCACACTGTACTGGGCGACGTCGTCCAGTTGAAGCTGGACGCGGAGTTCGGGCGCGAGCCCACCAAACAGAAAGTCCCGCTTGTCGTTGGGGTCGTTGGTAGTTTTGTTCTTCTTGAGAAGAGCCTTGGACACGGGCGTCGATGGAGTAGGCCGAGTGGGTGTCTGGACGGGGGACGTCGCCGATGCCACAGGTGTGGCGGACGATTTGAGCGAGTTCCACAACGACAATTCCGTCGCATTCAAGGGCCGTATGTCAATCTCGTCGTCGGATATCTGGTTGTCATCGTGGGACGGCGACGAGTTGTCGTTGTTGCTAGTCGATTTGTTGACCGAGTCTTGAACCGCTACCGGCGCGGATAACTTCAGCAAAGACAGCATGGACAAGATATCCTTGGATGCATCCTCCTCGGGAGTGGACGACGGTGGCGGCTGGACGGGGTTTAGTGATGGTGAATTTCGAGACGTGGTCCCGAGCCGCCGCGGCGACGCATGTGGGGAAGCTCGTATCATGGGTGGACGTGTAGCAGGTGAGATGTGGAGTGCTCGTCGTCGAGCACCGAAGATGCTGGTTGAGGACGGCTCTCGTGCCAAAGTGTCCGCCCACGACATAAGCAGATTCCATCGACCAATCAGCGTCCGAACCATGGCAGTGTGGAACAATCGCCAGTGTTTAACCTCCTACGTTTTAGTAATAAACGCAGCGTTTATATCGACACAATTCACGTTATAGTGTTTCCACGTTCCGTGTTTAAACCTCCAAATACTGTGGGAACGGGGATTGAACATGAAATACTGTGTGGCGGCAATATTCTACCGGTAGTACTACCGTAGTAAAGTACTAGTACAGCAACAGTGTTTCGCAAATAACGTTGCCTTTGGTGAATCTAACGTGCATGCAGCGAGCCAAAGACGCCGCCATATGCATGGGCTTTGTTCCACATGACTCACAAACGGAAGTAGTCCTTCTACACCCGAAGAATGGCATGTCGGTTCCAGTACGAATTCCGGATAGTCTCTTATCCGGAAATCCGGTCCATTTGCCTATAACAAGGTCGCCGCAACATGGCGCGGACGTACGTCCGGGTGCAGGGCAATGTGCAAAAGGTGATGTTTCGACAGACGCTGATTCGAGCGATGGTCAAGCGAGGAATCAGGGGCGGAGCGTCCAACAACCGCCAGCAGAAGGACCTCGTTGATATTACCATGGATGGCAACGCCGACGAAGTCGAAGCGCTTGTCGAAGCGCTGCGAACAACCAAACCACTCAATAGTTGGGGGGCCGAGGTGGTCACACTCGCGGTGCTCACGTCGGGACTTGATGTCGATGCCCATCAGGTACGGTACACGTCTTGAAACATGGGCTACGATGTGTTCATGCCTACCGAATCCTGTTTGTAGGTCACGACAACCAACGTCGACGATCGATCATGGAATCCGAACGTGGAAATGTACCTGTGAAGCTGGCAGACACGACATGACACTTTCGATTGATCAATCGATATCCATCCCGTGTGGGGGAAAATGGCATCATCATGGCAGCACCATGGCAGGGCCGTCGCGATGGACAGCGACGTCGATGCATATAGACGAGGTTGTCGACTAATATCACAAGTATGTACTACCTTAATACTAGTGTGTTTTTTACATCAAAAGTGCCGTTTGAGTTGGCCAAGGCAATAAGCGAAATCGGTCCAGTTACCACAAGTTCGGTCATTGTGGGTTTGAAATGTGAAACTGCCAAGTAACTAGCGATCGTCAGGCCGTCAATTGCAGTACGCAAACGCGCCATGTTGCTCAGACACGTGCTGGGCGCACATGGTCGCCACGCCAGCAAAGACCGTCGTGGCTATGAGTCTCGTGCAGCCTTCGACTCTGCATATCTTGTCCTTGCGGTGGCTCATGCAGAAGCCACCGCCGCGGTCGGTGCGACCACAGCCTGCCACGTTGCAGATCCGCTTTTGGCCGTGCTTCGCGCACAGCTCGCGGCGCTGGGCGCTATTGCTACAGCCAGGCCACTTGCACTCGCGCCCGCCGCCATGGGTTCGGCAGTACCCCCCTCCCTAAAACCCAACGCTCCTTATCACATACGTTGTTCTAGTCATCATACACTACTAGTAGTAGTAGTAGTAGAGCCGTGTGTACCTGGGATGTCTTCACACATCCGTGGAACTTGCACCGCGTGCCGCCGCCGTGGGACTTGCACAAGCCATGCGACTGCGCGGCGCGGACGCAGTTGGAATGCTGGCATCTCTTGCCCCCTCCGTGTGCAATGCACCGGTTTCGGCCCTGGATTCCCTTGGTGCAATACGCCACACTGCACTTGCGGGCGCCCCCGTGCAGTTTGCAGTAGCCGCGGTACCGAAGCGCGGCCGTGCATTGTCGATCCAGGCACTGATTCGGCACTTCATACAGCTCGGGAGCGACTTGATGGGCGGCATAGTTGTTGTTGGCATTGTAGTCGACAAGTGTGGGGGGTGGGTGCTGAGATCGACCTAACGAGTAGTTGAACGCATTAGAATGACTCATGCAGGACATCAATCAAGGACGGTATACGACCAAGGTTGTCGTGTGTGTACGGAGATGGCAGGGTCACAGTGTACGATGACATGGGGGAAGGCAAGGATGTCGTGGGGATTGGATACTGCTGTCCTGCCTCATCGTCGGCACGGCTACAAACACTCGTTAGCCGTTGAGGGACGTGGGATGACGTTGTGCAACGAACGCACGGGTAGTTCTGGAAATTGTAGTGGTAGGTTGATGATGTCGTTTGGTGCGTGGTGGGATTTGACGATGTTGGGAGGTTCAATGTTGACGACACATGCTGCTGCATTTGATAGTGGGGATGATGCTGGGTCAGACTTGGCCACTGACTAAAGTCGAAGCCGCCGTGATGCTGAGCTGGTTGGTGCATATACATGTCGGGCTGTGGGTGGTGGTATTGCATGCTACGGATGGCCACGTCAGCGGCGTCGTCCCTGTACCCTTCCTGGGGGTGATCAATATACATTGGCGGCTGCGCATTGTCGTGACCGTGGTGCATGGATGTCGTAGCTTCTGCAATGACAACAATCGCATCTGTATGTACTACACGACCACTACCGTACTGTACATGCCCATTTCTGTGTAGTGCACCTCTCTAAAGAGACGACGACTTCTCGGTCTCTACACTCAACTTTCTCTTCTTGGTTGAACAGATGCGATGCGCAAAACGAAACTCCGAGGCAAACTCGACGTGGCCCCACCAGTTCTCCGTCGATAAGTCATGGCCTTGACCCTCGCTTGTTAGTTACTGTAGCTCCCTCGCCACTTCACATGACCTTTCAATTCTTGGCAATGTAGTAAGTACTACTACCGTATTGATTCCGTGACTGTCACCGCAAATAATCAGATATGAGAGCCAGAGGTCAGCTATTTTGCACCAATCTCTATGTCACCACCAAAACTCTATTTTGACCGGGAATAGTGAACCCCGAAACCCCTGAACAACGTCGTGTGCACTTTGTACAACTTGTGCCGTAGTTGTGGTCTCGAGGAGAATTGCAACTTACATATGAATATTTGGATAAACATTATTTTTTTGGCTAAGGTACTCTGTTGCCAGACGGACGTGCGGTTGCATGGCAACTCACACTCTATCTAGCCAACCTGCGAAGCAAACGATGTAACAAACCCGTGATTCGAAATTGGCTCCCTCCACAATTCGCATCAACTATCTAGAGCACGAAGTACAGGGCAGACGCCATCATCGCCCCGACAATGGTCGATAAGCTACGCTTGTCTGCCGCCGCGGAAGTGCCGCAGTCCACACATCCTGGGAGAGTGCACTTGGTGCACGACGACCCAATGCACGCCCCGTCGCGGCAGTAGCACTCGCTTTGCAGGCAAATACCTACACCAAGAATCACATGAGACCCATCATCTGCGAGCAACGAGCAACTTACCCAATGTGCCACAATTGGGGCCGTTAGCCAACGCACACTTGTCCACCACGGAGACGGATGCATCGCTCGTGGTGCCGCACCACTTATCTCCTGGATATTCACGCTCAACCCGTGGTTTCATTCATTGTCACAGCATACCTTGGAACCCTGGGACACAGTCGCACGTGTTGGTCTTCAAATTGCACGTGCCAGCTACACGCAATCAATGTAAACCAATCTTTCTTTGCATGACGCTCTTGGTAAAATATCCGTACAAAGTTTTTCCGAGTTGCACGTTTCGTCGCGGGTACAGCCATAGCATTGGTCTCCAATGAACCCCTTCTTGCACACGCATTGCCCCTACAGTCACCCCCCCATTGAGAGATGATGCAGGATGAGCCCATTTGCTGTTGTTATTGGACAACAGGCTGCGTACTGCGATACAGGTCCCGCCCTGGCCACAGTCGGCCACGCAGTCGTTTGAAATCACTTGATCGCAGAACCGTCCGCCAAATCCAACGTCGCACATGCACTGCCATGGAATTCATTGTTTAATGATATACGAGTATCATGATGACAACGTACACGGAAAGTGCCTTGGGGCGCGTCGGAATCAATGGGCACACACGTGCCGTGTTTCGAGCACAGTTCCTACACAAATCGCTCAGCAACACGCAAGACACGACCACATCACTTACATTCTTGGCAGTGTCACAACTGAGCCCAGTGTCGCACACTTTTGGAAACACACTTTGCGTTTTGCATTGATCTACATGCGTGACTAAACGATCTCGGAGGGGTTCGACGGTCAGTACCTTTCAACACACACTCGAACGAGCCCGGGATCGTCCGGTTGCTTCCCACTGGTTTATAACAATCAAAGCAAGGCACTGCAGGGGCATCCACGAGCAATTCGCGGGTGATCGCGGCTTTGGTCGTGGTTGGGGACGTTGTCGCAGCATCGGCGGGGGCGACAGTTGTTGCAACTCCTGATGCGAGGGGACTGTCCGGCTACGGTGGGCGGTTAGCCAGGAACACCAAACCCATGTGTTCTGTTATACCAGCAGCTGCGTGCCGCCCGAGTTGGGGCAGCACACGACATTTCGGATCTTTTTCGTTTCGACAAACACACACATCATGTTGCCAATTTCGGCGTCCTGGGACGATGTTAGTTTGGATTTGATGAGATGACGTGGCGGCACCTGGGACGGGCAGTGGCCAAACGTGCGACCCCCACACACTGGTTTGTTGGCCGTGCACTTTGAAAACGCACTTCGACCTGGAGTCATTCAAAAGAACCTATTAGTGTGTCGAAATGGGGGGACTCGGTCGTGGGCATACCAGTGTCCACCGTGACGCAGGCGGCGTTGGCTGCGCATTCCGTGTCATCTAGGCATCGCCCTTGCAACCCTTGGCCCTACACAACATGCAGTGAGACATCGTCTCCATCTTTGTATGTGTTGTACGAGGGATCCAGTGGCTACGACTGCCAGCAACAACATCGAGGCGTGCATTTTCATTCCAAACCACAAATGAGCGAGTCAACGATATAGAAGAATTAGTAACCAGACGTTCGACTTCGAAGGAATCGCTGGTGCTGCTGCCTGGTGTGTATAATGTTCGAAAGTCACCCCATGTATGGAATACAGGTGAACGACTAATATCGAAGGAATCCGAAAGTTAGTATATATTGCATCGACACTGGTGGCAGGGGCAGTTCAATCACGACGAGCTATGGCTATGGTGGAGGGAACGAGGGCTTGGTGGTAAGCCGCCACTCGTGTGGCCCATCATGCTTGGGGCATCTGCCGCACAGGACAAGGTTGGATTATTCACCATCACTTGCTAGGCTTTTTCCAGTATGTTGGGGGCGTTCCACAACACCATACCGACGATATTGGTGGCTTTGACGTACTACACCACGCCTCGCTCGTACGGCAGTTCCGACTGAGATGAGCAGCGTAGCCAAACCTCCATGGCCTGTAGCGACGCGTCCAGCCCCACGCCGTCGACCGTGACGCCAATACCCAACAAGTTGCTCCGAAACACAGGCTGGTGACGGTGCACTTTTTTCTTTCTCGCCGGCACTACCTATGTAGTCACAGCAATCAGTGCAGCAACGAGAACACGAATAGTTGGAGGAGCTAATGAGCATCTGGCTGGGGGGAATGTAAGGGAATAAATCTATGTACCCTGTTGTGTCCTGCCAACAGCCCCTTGACAGCCTGGTCGTAACGGTCAACGCGGCGGGGACCGACAAACTCGTCACAATAGCTTGTCGTGCTGCCGACCACAAAGATATCCGCCAACGCCTCCAATTCGGCGTTCACAACAATGCCTACAGATGAGCTCCACGTCATTCACTTCATAAACTGCGATAACCTTCACACGGGTGTAATGTCGTGGTGAGTCATCCGTGCTTAAACCACATCACATATATATCCGACACCACGCGAACGATTCCAAGTACTGTAGTCAATCGACACTGCTGATTCCGTGCCACCGTTTTCAGAATTCACTTCGAGGCTGGTCGCCACCAGACCATGCACTGCCGGGTCAATATGTTGTCGGCGCGAGCACCACCTACGTAGTGCATCCATGTCACAGTGACGCCCCCAATGCTGTCCCCATCATCCTTGTCATCTCCTCCACCTCCAAGGACGGCCGCGATGCTATCGCTTTGACGCTGGTAACCAACGTGTCTGGCTTGAAATGCACACTCCCCAACGCTTTTAGGTGTCGTGTGAGTTCGGCGCTCAAATATGCTAGCAACTCATGGGCACAAGGCCCAGGCGTGGACACAAACAGGACCTACTCATTGGTGCATAAGTAGTTGCTCTGCAACGATGAGATGGAGAGGACATATCGTTGGGTTTGGGGTGTTGTGAACGCGAGCTCGGTAGCGAGAAACCTGTCGCCAATGATCGGACTGTAGCAAATTGTTCATGCTGTCGTGAACTGTAAGTCGTTGGCGATTCTCATCCAGATATCAACATCCAAAGGTGCAACTTTCATACGATTTCGATTGATTTGGCCGAGTTATGCAAAAATAACAGTTTGATGATGTCGCGAACTGTTAACCCTTGGAGGTAGCCGGTGCAGCGCCTCAAAGCCGCTTCGAGTTGACGTCATGTTGACGCGGTCGTTCTGCGCGTACGACAAACGAGCCACGTAGAGCGGGGGCGCAACTTGCCACTGGTAGCTTAGCCTTCCTCATGGTTGCAAGACGAAACTAATGAAAATATACCATGGAGCCATTAGCCAAGGCCAAGTGCTGCTTTCTCCACGGGTTGCTTCCCCATCGCCATCGTGACGACAGTCGGAGACGATATATCGACTTCGAATCGGGGCGTGATGGATCGCCACCACTCGTTCCACGTGTGGAAGAGAGCGTTGGGCATGATGGCTGATGACAATATCTCGTCACGAGACAACGTACATTTTTCCTGTTGCTTGTGGTCGAGGCGCGACAAGTGAGCGTCGTCGCTGATCACGAGAATCTCCGCCATCGATTCCTACTGAATTATGGCTTCGATTGCAGCATACTAGTACTAGTATGCAGCAGTAGAATCACCCAGGATCACAAACGGGTAATGCTTAGTTCCTACTGCAATATGGCTTCGATTGCAGATATGCAGCAGTAGAATCACCCACGATCACAAAACGGGTAATGCTTGGTGCCTTGACCAACTAACTACCTCTGGTGGAGGGGGTGGCAAGTCTACAGTCTACTGTACCGGCCAACAACCGAGGCATGAGCACGACTAGATTAGGCTGGACATATTATTATATCCAAATACCGCAGCTCTCGGTAACAATGTCCTTGTCGCTTAAGGCGTGTCGAACGCTCCACGTGGAGAGCCCAACACCGGTCGCCACCGCGGCAAGCAATCGCCGCAAAAACGCGTCGAACATTTTGTTCGTGATGACGTTTGAGTGAAGTGGAAATACGTAACTGGCGCTATTGGATTGGCCAAATTCTACCAACGGCCTTCTAGGACTAAACTCCAATGCCATTTCAACGGTGTGCAACTAAAGTTCACATTATTATCGTCAACCCCGTGGCGGCTTTCCATTACAAAAGTAAATTGCACTTAACGTTACCTAAAATGTGGCTACCAAATGATAACTCGGTTGTATCACACGCAGTCATACCTTAGCGTGCACGATACTAAACTATAAAATCTGATGCAGTCGAGTCATGCTGGGGCAGTTACAAAAAGGGAGCCAGTGACCTCTCGTGCCACCAAGTACAAAGTACCCATCGATGCCCAAACCTCCCGTACCCGGGGCTTTGGTTAAGGAGCATGATATATCCACCAAGCAGCTCATGGACGACGCGCTAGTGGACCACGACGTGAGTGAAAGTGGCGGTGACTCGGACGACGAGTCGACCAAGCCAGCGCCCGTGAAACCGACCCCCATGATCCAAAAAGCCATGTACAAGATCAACTCGTACACAGCCTTGACCAAGCTGGATAAAGGGGGCGCACAAACGCCGAATGCTGCGACACCGACGGAAACTCGCCGCGCATCGGTCAGGCCGGAGGCGGACGTCGTGTGCAGCCGGTGCGCGGGGAGCAAGGACATGCCGAGTCTGCATTTCGCGGCGTACGCCGGCCACGCTTCGTGTTTGGCCAAGTTGGTCCAAGACACGGGGTTCGTGGCTCAGGATAAACACCACCGGACGCCCCTCTTCTACGCGTGCGCGTCCAACCAAGCCGAGTGCACAAAACTTCTGCTGCAGCTTCGCCCGCAGTGGATTGACATGCCGGATTCGCAGCTTGACACGCCTGTGCACGTGAGCTGTTTCTTTGGGTGGGAGGTGTGTTTAGAGGTACGATGCGGAGGTCTACTGTTAAACTGTTAAACGTACGCAAGCAATTGACTTTGCAGAATCCTTGGGGGGGTAGAAAGGGGGATTCCATGACTCGAGGGATTCATGTTTTTTGTGTGGTGTTTGTGGTAGCTGTTGTTGGCGGCAGGAGCCAACCCCCACGTCCGCAACGCCAAGGGATTTCGACCCAGTCATATCACAAAGACGCCTGCGTGTTTGAAAATCCTCGTGGGGCATGGGGACGACTTGCTCCAAGGGGACAAACTCGGGCGGACGCCGTTGTTTGTCGCATGCACGCGGAATCGGGTCGATTGTGTCGAGTTTTTATGTCAGTGGGACTACCAAGTGCACTCGTGGATGCTAGAACAAGAAGATGACCGAAACGATCGGCCGATCCACGCCGCGGCTTGCAACGGCAGCGTCGGCAGCCTCGAGGTAAGAATATTACATCAAGTATCGACGAACTACGGGTACAAATAATACAATCACATGAGGAATTCATTACAAATCACCACCACGTTTGGGGTTTACTGGTGTTGTAGGTCTTGGTCAAGTATGGCGCCGACGTTTTTGCCCGAAATGCACGAGGGCTCACGGCGGTCGATCTGGCAGTCAACAACCACCACACGGTACGGGGCGACTCTTCCTATGAGTATTTTCTCGTTGATTCATTGACCTTTCGTTGAAGTGGTTAAGTCAGTATTACTTGTGGTTAGCCGTGCGTGGAACTATTGCAGAAAGCTATCAAAGACTCGGTACGTTGAGCTGCGACTGGGGTTTTAACATAAACATCAACTCGTGCATACAATATTACATTGTGGGGGGATGGCGTACAAAATGCATTTCGACAGGAAACAGCGTCGACGTGGTTTCATCCTGCCAACGCCAGGCACGACAATCGCCCGCAAACGTCAAGCGAGTGGAGCGAATGCATGGACACGGACAGTGGCTACGTGTTTTTCTACAACAACATGACGGGGAAATGCCAGTGGGAACGACCAGACGGGTGTGTACATCAAATTCCAACCAAGAAAATACCCCCTAGTCGTAGTTTGAATTGTCACACTATCTCGACGGTTGATTACATTGGGATATCTGTCGAGTGTAGATATGAAGTTCCCCCCGATCCGAATAGCACAGACGGAATATCGTCCGCTGTCCCAGACAACGCCGTTGTCGCCGTCACCACGCATCCCCCTGTATGTGGAGGCGTGTTGAAATCCTTTTTGTGTTGTGACATTGGGGGTAATTATAGGAAGACGACGGAGGGGACTATGTGTGGGTGAAAAAGAAGAAGAAAACGATCAGCGTGGTCGCGAGCACCCAGTTGGAATGGACGGTGGTGCAAGATCCAGGCTCGAAAGCCATATACTACAAGAACACGCTCACGGGCGAGTCTCAGTGGGAAGAGCCCGAGGCGATTCAAAAGCTGCAGCACGATGCCCAAGCGCACACGTCGCAGCACGCCCAAGAGTTGTGGGACGAGCTCAACAAGTCCCGCGATGCACTGGCAGAGGTACAGTACAGTCCCCTCGTACATACGGGTGTATTATTAAGAAAAGAAAGACATGACGAATATCGTGCTTTTGGTGTAGAAACTCGAAGCCGAACGAAGTCGGCAGTTGGCCCTCACCACCGCCACCACGCAAGCGTTTCAGGCGTCGATCCAGGCGCGCCGGGAGGAAATGCATCAAAAGGAGCTCAAAACGTTGTTGCCCAAGTCGTCATTTGTTAAGGCCAAGCACAAACCGCCGTCGATGCGAGGTTGTTGCAATGGACATTTCAAATATGTATAACCATGGCGTGCGACAATGGACATTTCAAATGTGATATATGTACATATATAAATATCTCTAGGATCGATGATGAAGATGTCCATGCACACGATTCAAGACGTTGACAACGAAAACACGGACGATTCCGACGCGCTCACGAAATTGTGCGACGACGAGCCGTTTTTGAATTTGTTTCTCGGGTCGTTCATTCGGTACGACTCGACGACCGGTAGCAGCCAACAAGCCCGGCTCGTTGGCTCCAAACGCAGCTTGAAGTTGGACATGACGGGCGCCCAGCGCATTTACAATGGCATTTTTCACTACTACCTGACACTCTTGGACCCGTTCAACGTTGTGGGCATGTCGTACGTACTATAAACCCCTTGTGGCTTGTTATAAAGTTCAAAAGGGGGGCTTTATAGGAAAGGTCAATTTCGAGTGTTGTTAAAGGACGCGGGGTTGCTTCCCAACCCAGGTGGAAGTGCCCCAGGGAACTTTGCCCCGCCGCTCAAACTGCATGCGGCCGACATGATTTTCACGTTGCTAGCCACTCTCGACACCCGTACTATGAACCATATAAAACAGCTGTTATAGATAGGGTGGTCGTGATGTTGATGGATCTGTGTCGCATTGCCGTGTAGGGGCGACGTTAAAAGAGTCGACGATGCTCATAACTGGGTTTTACAAGGCTATGGTGAATGTGGGCGAGCGAGCGGTGGCCACGCTGGACGAAAAGGTCGAAGCGGGCATCGACGACGTCGACGCGTGGTTCTGTACCGAGTTCATGCTGCCGCTGCTGCGCCGCCTCGCGAGTAAAATGGCCGAAAATGTCAAGCGGTACGCTAGGGGGCATCGGGGTGGGGGGGTATAAAAATGGCATGCATGTATGCGTAGATACAAGGACATTGACGCGGCGATGGTGGGGGACCCACAAGTAATGGCCCTCGTCGCGGGCAACCGCGTGCAGCTGCAAACGCTCCATCGCTTCTACAGCAGCGACTTGAGGTTCAAACTCATGACGTTCCAAACGCTGAGTCAACTCGCCACGGACTTTGGCCTGACGCCGACGCTGTGCTGCTCCGTGCCGACGTTGTATCACGTGTGCGAAGCCATCAATTGGATCAACGGCCACTCGTACACAGTGGTCATTTCCTTTGAAAAGTTTGTGCAAATTAGTCGGACGCTGGCGGTATGACCGACCCCCCTTGGTTGATGGATCGCGAACGGCTAAAACAAGCAAAAATGGTGATACCTGTGGGATGGTGGTTGTAGGTGCTGTTTCCCCAAGACGGCGCGACGGGGGAAGTAGCATGCTGGCAAGCGTTTTTAGCGCTACTCAACACCCATCGCCACAACCGCGCCACGACGTTGGGGACGGGCCCCCTCAACTTTGTACCGTTTTTAACCGACCTCAACCAAGTTCCAGCGATGCAAGAGGCCAAGCCCCTTTTACCACCCATGGAACAAGACGAAGAAGATCCGGGAGACGATATGTAACGTTAGTGAATGTAAATTATACAAAGGGTTTTGTTGGTGTGAAGTACTTGGGGCCGAGCTCAATGAAGGAAATGGACGACGAAGTAAGTTGTTTATCGGTGGCATACTCAGATCCTGGTGTTCCTCCCATTCTCCATTCTTAGATTTGTTGTCGTCGCGTCCAGCAATGTAATAACTACTAACGTCAATGTAATAACTACTAACGTCAAGGTTAGTATGTAGTTGTCCCACAAACGAGATATGTATGCCCCCACTGGCATAGCAACTAGAGGTGCCACGGGCCAGATGTTTACGCATAGTATTAATATATATTGTGCTTTTCACATTTTTTGCCCGTGTTTTTACCTCCGAAAATGTCCGACGTTTTAATCCAAAACGAATTGCACCACCATCCAAATATAAGCTAACGTGACGGATCTGTGATTTGCCGAATGATCGGTGATTTGCCGAGCTGCATTACCCAATAGAAATCAAGAATTGATATGATTGGAGAAAATGTAAGCCTGCAACAACTAACACCTTCAAAAATTTACGGTGGGAAATAGTACTAACTTAAAGAGGAGCTCGCCTGTTTTCAAATCAAAATGCCGCCAAGAACGCCGTACTCGCCTGACGATGTGGCTAAAGCGATAGCAGACGTAGTCTCCAAGAAGTGCAACATCCCTTCTGCTGCACAAGCGTATGCCATTCCTCAGCGAACCCTTCGCTTTCATGTGGCAAAGGCCAAAAGACCCAACGTCGCCTCCAAGTCCAT